CAATGAAAAAAAATTTTAAGCAACTCTGGTATCCTTCCTAACTTGTATCAATATACTCGAGATAAAGCGAAGAATCTTTGTGTAACGCCGTGTATGTTTTACCCTGTATAATTCGCAGGATAAAATCACAAGTAGTAAAATCGCGAATCTCCAAATAAAAAGGTGAAAAAGAAACAGAGAAGAGAAAGGAGAACAATACGGTATGGGAGAAAAATACGCCTTTCTCGAGCGGCGTCACGTTCTAACTGCAATCGCGTCGCGGCTTCCCCGAATAGGGCGAACGTGTGCGCCGCCGGGTATACCTGTAAACCTGGGCAAGGCTTCGTCGTCGCGCCCGGATGCGCTACCCACGCGAAGCTTCCGGTTATCTGGAGTCACCGATCGTTACCATGCATTTCCCAGCGAACGTTGAAACCCATTTTTTCGTCTTCTCTCTCTTCCTCCCTCTTTTTATATCTCTTCCTATCTCGCTCCCGTAACCCGCGGCGATATGAACGTGGATGACATCCCGACGGAGGGACGACTGACTGCGCTTTCTCGATTCCCATGGCGCTTTCGTTCTCTTCACGCAGCCGCCGCCGGCAGTAATTGCAGTTTCCTTTTATTTCGAGCTCGAGCTCAACATCCGCGGAATACTACCGCTTTTTACCCGTGCTTTATAAACTTTCCTCCCCCGCGTCTTCTTATAGACCGATATGAAACTCGAGCTGGTGGTTCGCTGCCAACCCCGGCGAAAGAATTTTAAGTTTCCATCCATCCAAGTTGCACTTTCGCGGAATTTCAATATCTTCGCCCGTAATGGACCGTTGCTACACGCACATTACGCTCCATTACGAACACGCGGTTTACCACGAGAAGATCTGTAGGCGCATTCGATGCGACGAATGGCGGCTATAAATATCGGCTCCTAGGAATTTTGCTACGATTTTCAGATATATTCTTGTTTCGAATCATTACCTCGAAAACTCATATATATTTGTGTTTTTCGGTAACGTGAAAAATCAATTTTGAATTTAAATGTATCTAAAAATAAATAAGAAGATAAAAAGATTCGAAGAAAATTGTGCGAACGCCATATTTTTTAACTGCGATCAAAATTTATGAACGTCAATTATTGTCCGGCCATAATTCATGAGAAAAACTTCTCGTAAAGAGATTTTACGAAAGATTTGTTTCGTCCATGCAGCGAATGTACTTGCGTGTCGACGTGATACATGACATAGTTTTTACATTTTTATGAATACGATTATAACGTTTATAACCGTAACATGAAACAAGTGAAAAATTAATAACTTTACGAACAATAACATATCGAGTTCACAATACAAGTACAGTTTAGGTACAGGTAGATATTTGTGTTATGAAGTATAATACTTTGGTACACTTCTTATACTTGCTATTCTTGATAGCAGATTGTTTTTCAGTGGTATTAAAGACTTCCTCTTCAGCTAAAGATTGAATTAAGTATTAAACTTTCTCACGTAGTGCATAACAATCTTTATAAATCATATTTTTTTCAAGAATAAATTTTAGAGAATTTTCAAGAATTAATTTAGCGAGTTTTTAAATAATATAAGAAGATATATATAATTTAGCTGTGGAGAACAAAAATATTACTACATAATATATAATATATAAGTAATTTATAGTACAAATACTTGTTTCACGATTCATATTGACTTTGTTTTTATTACAGATATTTTTCTAAAATAATGAGCCAAAACACGATGTACCTTTTATATATGTTTTAATATTTTTCATTTATATATATTGTCTCTAATATGATAAAAATTATTGATGAAAAAGATAATCGTGTTAGCAACATTTTTTGAAATTTTCAGATACCTTTAGCCTCGTTTAAAAATCTCGTATATATTTGATTTAATATATTTGTTTTAATATTTACGCTAACTTTCAACTATTGATCGATACTTCGCCACAATTCAACGATGCAATATGCACGTGTATACACATGGAGTTGCACAATGTAATTCAGAGTTCGTGTACTTTCATAATTTGTTTTACTGTCAACAATACAAAGTGTAAAGTCACTTGCTATGATACGGCAAACGATTGTGATATATGTGGATGGCGCACATTTAATGCCTCTAATCGTCCTCTATCTTGTTTCATGTCGAATAAAAATTTAATGCTTTATATATCATGACAATTGTAAGTAGATAAAGTAACGTTACTTTGTTCTATAGCAATTGTACTAACTTTACAATCGTCCTACTTTATAATCGACATTCAAACTATGACAACCATGACGCTACGAAATATACAATGACTATATGACAAATGCAACGAGATCAATCTAAAAAAGTTAACCCATTATTAAGACCTCGTTCGATTGTATCTATGATTTATTTCTGTCTATCCAATAAATAACTTGAGAAAATAATTTAAATAAGACTTTCAAAGATATGTGGGTGACATTTTTAAACATGTGTAATAAAATGTTATCCTATTGAATGACAGATAAAATGATTTTAAAAGTTTAAAAAATAATCGCAAAAGTTGCTGCATTATAGTAAAAATAAATTGAAATTCGGTATATACAGAATCGTATAAAACAATCAAAATCTCTATACAAAGTACGGTTTCAATATTGGCTTGTAAATATTTTTTTATTTCTGAGTTTTTTGTTTCGCAAAACAAAGCGCGCGTTTTCACACAAATTTTTCGAGGCGAGAAATTATAATAAATAAAATAATTTTATTTCTGACTATATACCTTTTTCTACACGAATCAAATTGTCCGCCTTCCTCCCACCCCCTTGCATTCAATTCCGGACGGAACAACAAATCTCCGAACAGAACTCCCAAATTTTCAACATACACGGCATTACACATTTGTGTGCGCGCGATACACACGACGGGGGAAAGGGGAGGGGGAGGGGGAGGGAAATGTCCATCGCGCTGGTTCCTGATATACACGGAAATTCGTGTGCAGTGACAGCGGGGGAGAGGAGGGCCATGGGGGAAGGGTGCATACAGCGGCTTTGATTTTCAGCCCACGATACGCTACTGCCAATTATTCGGCGTACACGTTGGCCCATTGTGAATCTGTCGAGAGACGGCGGTCGATTACTGCATCCGAAGTGGAGCCGTTATGTCAATTTGCATAATGCATCGATTAAATAAACGGGTTGCGCGGTCCTGTCCGATGTCGTAGAGCACGAGTGGTGTGGCGGACGCTCGCGTCCGCGCCGCCGTCCGCAAAACAACTATTGACAGGTCGGCGAATTCTCGACGCCGTTCACGTTCCGTGCGTATGTCAAAATTAATGCACGCCCGCGCCCTTCCCCTCCCCTCCCTTCTCTTTCCTTCCCACTCTCGCTCGTTCGCTCTTCTTTTACCTGGCCGCGCGCGTAGAAGCGCGACACGCACCGTAACCATCATGAGGTTGTCGCCGATGTCATTACGATGTAACGCCAACTCTTGTCCTTTGCGATTAATTAGGGACACGATTGCGTCGCGCCTGATATTTCCCCTGTATCCTTTTATGCGAGCGCTATAAATCAGAACGCATCATTTGTCGGCCATTTCGCGCATCGGCCTGTATCATGCCCAAATACACGAATTACACCGAATAAATTCTCGTTTTGCTCGATTTAGTTTCGCGTTTAATGCGCTATTTGTCCAAGCCGCTGTTGCATGATAATTGCGGCATGACCCGGCGACATGTTCCGTCGATGCAATAATTCCAGACGACATTGGCAAACTGTCGCAAATCGTACAATTATTGTTTGCCGGTTTATCGACATGTACGATATAGTTTATATATGTATATTCCGAGAAATCTATATATAATAACGAAGCGATATTTTTTGCATATCAAATATAAAAAAGATAATAATTTTCTTTGGCGGAAAAATTCAATAATTTAAAATATATATTTTTCTTTGCTTAAAAACTGCATTCAAGAGGAAATAAAATAATAATTTACTTGTTTCATCTTTAATTAATTCATGCTATTTCTCGTCTATTTTTCATTTGATACAAAATATCACTGCAATTTTTTTTTCTAGAAGTCACAAAACAATCGCTGCAACTAACTTTGTTAATTAATTTAATTATCGCCATTTGTTCAAGCTTATAGTACTTGTCAATGTTTTGCTCGACTACTGGATAGTTGACAGTGATGAAGAGAAAATGTTTTATTTGTCATATAACTATGTGCGTATAATATTTATTTCAATATTTGCTCGTGTTATCTGGTATTACAAGAAACATTTAATCAAACAATAACTAATGTATATAAAATTTATATATATTTTAAATATTTCAAAATCAAATTTGACTTTTAAATTTTCTTAATGAGAGCCTAATTAGGCATCAAATGATCCCAAACATCAATAATTACCTTTGAATAATAATAAATGAATTTTATTTTTTATGTCACTAAATATTGAAAAAAGATTAAAAATATCCCAATTATAAATTCAAAGCTATTTTTTTAACAAACGTGTGTTCAAGTTTTCAAAAATAGTTTGTCGAAATCGATTTTTGTAAATAAAAGTCGATTTTATCAGAAGAGATTAATCATCTATCATTGATAGACCTGGACTATTACATCACCTGACCTATCTACTGTTTCATTACTTTAGGTTGCGATATAAAAATCGATACAAGCATCGATATAAATGATCCTAATGCAAGCGCATAAATATTTTCACTATGCTGAAAGCAGGGAAATATTGCAAGCGTAAACATTTTCTCTCCGTTTCCCCCGAAGAGCAACGTAGATTACTTAGCCTTAAACGTACCGGCGTATATAACCGATAACTTTGAAGAAACATAAACTGAAAGAAGAAACCTTGTAACAAGAGAATAAAGGTATCTTTTCCGATCCAAACCAATTATTTGTTCCCCATTAGTGAACGCAAACAAACGGGCGAGATAAACTTCTCCGCCCCCTCCCTCTTCCCTCTCCTTCCTCTCACAATTACACATTATTCTTTATTCCTTTCTGCGAGGAAACTTGCAATCACTTACGTGGCTCATCGACGTCGCCGAGCAGAACTTCCGCTACGACGAACCGGGCCAGCAAGCTCATCAGCAGAAGCATCCTCTTCATTGTAAGCGAAATGAATCCTTGCTCCTGCAGCTCTTCGTGCAGATATCGTCCTCCTTGAATTCCGTGCTTAAGTGGGAGACCCCGACGTGGCTTGATAAGTTTCAGTAAGACGAATCTTCGGAGAGATTCGTCAGGTTGCACGAGACGCGGTCGATTTTAACGGACGCATCTCATCGCGAGACGTGGAAGACGTGGATCCGTCATCATCGATCTGACCCCGACGATTCAGTTCTCCAGGCGGTTGAATTTCCCGAAGCGATCTCCGATAAAACGTCCGATATACACTTTTAACTAGCGATAACTAGCGATGAAGATGAGAGTATGACCTGACTGCGCTTTGAGAGAAGGCTTAAGTGCAGTTGACGGAGCACGCAAAGTATCCTGTCTACGCCAAGGTAGGCTCTCGATGTAAAACTGCGGATTATAAGTAAGTCGCGTAACTCCTTAAGGGCTTCGTGAGGTTACGAGCGTTATTTATGTACGCAGACTTCAACGTCATCTCTAATGGGGTTACTCGATCGAGTAATTGTACATACTCCGCACATACACAGTCTATTGGCGTTCACTTTATACACCACTAAGCCTCACACGCGCGAATGACCCGTTCTGCTCCTCCGTCATCGTCCGACAATAATGACGTAATGATGTTTTCGAGAAACGTGGGACGGAAAAATCGATAAGTGTTAAATGGACTTCGTTTGCGCGACAACATCGAGGGTTAAAAGGTACTATTAGGAGTTATCGCCGTCGTACTTTGTACACGAAAACATTTTGAATTACACTGATGTATCGCTTACTCTTTTCGTTATGCATCTTTCATCCCCCGCAAAATTCACAGGGTTTTTCAGACGATACGAGAATTTTGACAGAAAACGCCGAGGCGTTCGCATCTCCAATTACTTGACTCTATTGGACAGATTTATCAACCCGACGAGATTTCAGGTACACGAATGAAGATTATCGATCGCCAGAAACGAATTATTGATCGCTGTTTATAACATCTATTCGTTCACAAAAATACGTTTTATTTCTTTAGGAAAGTGTTTAATCGCCGGGTGATTTCTTTAGCCGGATCACACTTGATCAGTGGCCCCGACGGTGTCAAATTCGTGCCAAGTTTCTTCCGGATGCGCGCAACATGAGGGTGGTGTGCCTCCCTGTCCGAGAGGATCACTCACACGAGTACACTTGTCACCGTGGGTCGCGATATGATCGATCACCCGCGCATGTTAGGGTGCCGATGATCGGATCGGATCGAAATCATGGCCGTCAGTAATGTCCAACCGATCTCTCGGGATACGCGAGCCCCTGCCAGAGGTGGAAGGCGCGCTCACTGCTGCGTTGCGGCAGGCCTACTGACGGAGCCGACGGAGCTTTCGGGTTGCCTCGGCGCGAATCGGGCGAGTCCGTTACCCTCCGGCCGCTTAAAGCACCCGCCGATCACTTTTCACCCCCGTCATTCCCGCGCCCGGCCACGTCCTACTCTATACTACTGCATCGCGCGCATCCCCCGAACGCTCCGCGGAATCGGTGAACGTTAGAAAACGACCGTACTGTCGCTGAAAACGCTGAGACCGCGAACAATACAGAACAAAGAAACGCGAGACATTTTAGCTTGCGTAGCTCGGGAGATGTGAGGAAAAAGATGATTTCGGAGGTGTAATCCTCGTCTGCTAACGCGATCAGCGAATGGAGAAGGTGTGTAATTGTACATGAAAAATTATAATTTTAATTAATTAATTTTAATATTTTAATTTTAATTAATTAATTTCTTTTTTCTTCTCTTTTTGTCAACATCCAGATTTGTGAATCGATATCACCTCAAAAGTGATATTTGATTAATCTCTGAATGCAAAGATACTACGAGCAATTCTTTTTATTAATTAATAATAAATAAAAAAAGAGTTGAAACACATATAAATGTGAATGTATATATACTACATGACATACAGAAGACATTTTGAAAGCATCTTGTAAAATTTCTTATGTTTTACATAAAATTATAATTGTTAGCATCATCAAAATGACAGTTCTCCAATGTCTGATCAATCATATCCACAACTACTTTGTTGCTCATTGCCTCTATTTTCTTCTTTTTTTTTGTCCTTTTTCTTTTCTTTCTCTTTCTCTCCCTTTTTCTTCTTCTTTTTCTTTCTTCCTCAATCGATTAAAACTATACTACACAAGTTTCAGAAAAAAATAAAATACTAAAAGAAAATACTAAAGAAATGCATTTGTCTGAATACTTAAACGTAACGAAATATTAAGTTGATAAGAACAAATTATTATATAATATATCAACGAAAATTCAGAATATATATTATATGTATAATATAAGATATATGTACAAGATATATATATATATATATATATATATATATATATGCACACTCACAGATTCTTGTTTTTCAATTTTCCTGGCAATTAATCCTTCATATCCACGCATCCCGACATACTACGCGTAGCTTTTTACATGCGCTTTGTATTGCAACGAAATACAACAATTCAAGAAAAATGACAACTGCCAATGCATAAAAGCGCGAGTATTAAAAGCTAAAAATTGAATTACAGAACAAGCCGGATTTAATTCGTGCACCCTGCGGGCAGTGAAAGTGATTTACGTGTACGTTGGCTAACCAAAAAAATCACACATGTGTACACGCCGGAAACGCATTGCATCGACATGGACATTTCAAATTCGAGAATATAACTGGAAAAATATAAAATGTTAACTCCTCGTCAGCTGCCTCCCTCCTCTTTTTCTCTCTCTTTCTCTCTTTTAGCTTTATTTAAAAATTTCACAAAATCTGCATCACACTGAAAATAAATCTAAAATGTTTCAACTGGAACTGTTTGAAAAATGCTTTTGCGTGTGTCACAGGTAGATGTCTCAAAATGTATCTTTTCCAATAATAATCCTGTAATTTTTCAATTCCATACATGACTATTTATAATCAATTTCGTACATTACTTATACACGAGACACATATCGAATAAGCATACTAGCGTTATAAATTAATTATTAATTATAATAAACTCACGTTTATTATAATTATGATGTATTTACTAAAAGCGCAGGTGCACAATAAAGTACTCTAAACAAGTTTATTGCTTCCGCAACAAGTTTCCAGACATTGTAGAAAGATGATGTTCGAGATATTACACTTAACCGAATGAGAAATACTTGAAAATATCATCTTAATATTACAATAAAATATCATCCTTTATCTCATATATACATATCATTCTCAATAAAACGTGTACGATTAAAAGCATTTTAATTATTTCACCGAATAAAAAATCATAAAAGATAGAAAAGAAAAAATATAAATATAAATGTAAAATTAAATATAAATATAAATGTAAAAAAAATATAAATATAAATCAATTTTTAAAATTTTTTATTTTGTAATTTTTCACGATGTCAATTTTACCTTTGTTTTAATGTTGATTTTTAGCATTCATATATTTATCCTCTCCCTCAATACACTTGCAATATTTGTAAATATTAAATTATTCGAAAGAAAGTCTCCTTTATCTTATATATATGTTTATGGAAATGAAATAATTGTATCAAGCGAAAAATATCTTGAAAACGAAACGGAGAATTTTTCAATATATTTACTGATTCAATTCCTGAAGCCATCTCCGAATAGCCAGATAGTGCATCAGATTCACTGATTCAATACCGTTCTTTCTAAATCGCTCGAAATCCAAGACTCTCGGGTCAGGATAGATGTTAGGATCGAGATGAACTGGATCCACCGGTATTCATATCTGCTATCCCTTCGAAATATATTTTCGTTCTCTCCCTCATTCTGCGCAAACAATGGTATTAAAATATTAAAAAAAATAAATATTTATAAAAAATAATCTGTATAGTTATATAATAGCCACACATATATATGATTTTTGCAAGTAAATTTTGTGCGTGTATGTATAATATTTCTGTACAAATAAAATTCTCCAACTGTTAACATCCAGTTTCTCGTGAGGAGACCTATAGTACATCGAAATTCGCCACATTTCGCTAACATTGTTTTGCTTTTTGTATTCTATGAAATGCGTGAATAATTATGAACTCGATTACGTTATGATTATTTATCAAATATTCGAAATGCTTAAGGTATCCCTCTCTAGTTATATTTCTAATCATGATTTTCAAATCAAAACAGAAAAGGTTAATTTGTAAAATTAATTGTTTTTCTCTTTCATGACATTTACATCTTAATGTTGGAAGTATACAACTTGATCGATAGTGAAGTTAGATGTCAGATCTTGCACTCGATGATCTTGTCTTTGAGCATTATCTTGTTCAGATACCTCTCGAAGTGCTCGGAACAGTTCAGCAACAAGTGAAACATGTCCTTCAACTTCCCGGACGTGAAGATGGGCGAGAATCGCGTTCTTAATGGTCGCCATCTAACAGAGTCGATCTTGAAGAGGTGCAATGGACAGGGGTTCGACCTATAAATTATGCATCAGTGTATCAGAAAACGGGAATTACGTTACAAAGTTTCTTCTCAGAGTTTCCGTGTGATCAACGCCTACCCTGAAACTTATATACCAATCGAACTTCATGTTAGAGAAGAAGAAGAAGGAGAGATAAATATATATTTTTTTATTTTTGGTATATATTTTTTAATATATTTTTAATATATTTTTTTATTTATATAAAATAATTTTTTTTAATTTTAATGAGAAAGAAAGAGATATCTTCCTAAGAGAGTGTAATCCTATTGCATTTATGACATCTAGGAAATAGAATATGAGCTTATTGCACTTATGATAGAGGTGCTCTTGAAGCTGAATTACGCGTCCAGTGAATGCAACTATGAAAATTAGGTCAAAAATTACAACTAATTCCCATCTCTTTTTACATTTTAAATAATTTAAATAAATATAAAAGTTATTTCGAAATAAATGTAGTATGAATATATTTTGACGCATATGCACTGTAATCCGTTTATTTATTATAAGATTTTATTAATTTCAAAATAAAAGTTTATTTTTTTCATAATTTTCCCACTGTTGCACTCTTCGCGCGAATGAAATAAAAATATTGCTTTAAAATATCCGTTTATTATATGACGTGAAAAGATTATATAGCATCCTGCCGCGATTGATCAATTCCACGAACGCATTTACAATAGCACAGTGTTCTGTTCAACGCAAAACAAATCAAGATGCAAAACCTTGAAATGAGAGACACATATGCATAATTCATAAATCAAAAGAGTTCTATCTATTTTGAAAAGATAGGAAAGAAAGAAAAATGACAATATTTTTCGCGAGATCTCGTTGATGTGTCCATATATCCCGCGTTAATATGTAAAAAATATCCGGCTGCTCTCTTTCTCTCTTGCTCTCTCTTCCTTTTTCTCTCTCGAGGAAACTCTCTATCGGCATTTTACGAATTTATTTCCTCTGTACGGTAGATACACATATTAAATGGATTTCGAAAATTCATTTACCGTTTTGATCTAGCCGCGCATTTCAATTATATGTTTACTTTTTGTCGACAGCATACGCCTTTCTATTGAACCCCGCGCGCGCATTCGACCTGGTAAAGTCGTGGGAACGGATGCGGTACGCGGCACAATTGAATTAATCTCGATCGAACAACGCGACCTCCGAAATGAAACAGGAAATCACGTTATCGCACGTGGCAGCGCACAAGCATGTGCTGCGAAACAAGCGGGTCTCATTAGTTGTTATTGTTCGATAGTAATTAGCAACAAAACTGTTGTTGCTGAATATGGGGCGTTATCGCAATTATATTGCCTACAAAATCATCGTAATCATTCGGATCGTGCGAGAGAAGGGTACGGGAACAAATGGGGACTATTGAAGCCGTCATTTTATTTGTCCCCTTTCGTTTCTCGACACGTGTTGCTTTAATTACGAAACTGCAACGTGTCAAAAAGAATCGAATATTTTCAAAATTACTGAATTATTCTCAATCACGTATAGTCCTTTGAATATTTTTCAAATCGAATTCTTGTATTGTTTTTTATTTATATTTCGCCTGTATACAGTTTGCTCGAAGCAAGCGTAAAGTCGAGCGTAGAAAGCTTTCACGCTGAATCGTCCATGGTGAGATGGAGAGCCAAATTGCGTCTTCTTTCGAGATTCATCCGGTCGAAGATTTGAATCAGGTTAGCCTGCTCGAGACGGAGAGCCCGTCTTAATTCCTGCAGCTTCCACCCCGCTTCAATCTGCTTCTCGGCTATTTGCTTCTGCAAGGCGGCGATCCTCCGGTTTAAAGCGTCGTAATCCGCTTGCAGCGGATCGCTGTCGTAGTCCCAATTAATCGCTGATCGATCGTATGCCGCAGGACCGCTGTCTTGTTGCACCATGTTTGAAGTCAATAGACAAATCTTGTCATGCAATTCGGCCAATTGCGTCAGCGTCAAAGACTGAAAGATGCGAAACGAATCGTTCGCGTTTTAGAAAATTATACCCTAAGAATATTCTCATATATCTTGCTACTGATTATTGTGTATATACGCGAGAAGAATCGACACGAGATTTAATAGGTATAAAGGAAGGGATTAAAGACGAAATTAGCAAAATGAACTCTCATCACTACGCACGTACCTTCAACCAAGATTCAGGGTCAAAAGCTGCAAGCTCATCGCCATTATCCGCACCTGCAACCTTGGTAACTTCTACACCAAGCTCCTAGAAACGATTCATTTCTCGCGTTAATATGTGCACAAGGAAATTTCGAGTTACCCTCTTGATAAATCATCAAATAGAGCCACGTATATTAAACTAATGCTTTTATTATTCTCACCGACAGTTGTTTTATGTAATTTTCATTGTCTCTCTTGCATTGGTTAAGCAGTTCCAATAATCTATCAATGCTTTGCACTTCGATTTCCGCCAGATAAATATTCTCGGACAATTTCTGAGACTCTTTGAACAATTCTATGATGGAAGGCACCGTCCAGCGCGTGATCTCCAAGTCATCGTCCAACGTCGCTGCCATTACAGGTTTCGTAGGAATTTTACCGTCTATATAGTGTATGTAATCACGTACACGTTGCACGGCTATAGCGAAAAAAAATACGAATAATCTTGTAGAGATTACATAATAAGATTTTATTTACATTTCATAATCCCATCTTATATAAAATTTTGTTGAATGTGCCATCAAATTATACAATTTTTATCAACATTGTATGGTTAATGACTAAATATGTAATAAATATGTAATAAATGAAATATAATGATTTAATGTTGCAAAATATTGTTTTCAAATATTACAAATTTATGGAAATGTTCAGTTTATTAAGATATTAGTCCGACTCTCTCATTAAGAGCTATGAATAAGCAAATACGCAATACGATAAAAACTGTCGGGTGGCAAAACAGTTGGAAAGTTTTTATGCAAGTTTTACCGTCATATTGCTTTTCAATCTGCTTCTTTAGTAATTCATTCGCCTTAACGAAGTCGCCGCATTCATCCGGTTTAATCACGCCAGCTTCTGGAATTATAAAGATGTCTTCTTTTTAAATGCGAACGCGACCGACGAATTTAATGGCGAGAAAAAGGCTCGTCGAAAACCGCGAATGAATGAAACGTATTACACGACTAAATTATGCCCATTGATTTAAATAGCTACGCGATAAAAATGATGAATATATAATTATCTATAAGCATGCTATGTACAATCTTTGGTATTAATATATCAAAAAAATTCGTATACACAAACCTTCAATAGGAGAAACGAAAGATTTCAATAATCTGATGTTTTCATTTCGTAAATTGTCAAGCTGTTTATTCAATTGCTTATTCTCTGCTTGACAACGATCTAATTCGGATCTCAAATTTGCATTTTCGGCGAATAATTTACGGATTTGATCCATCGATCCATCGAATTCCTCATCTGGTCGCTCAGGATAAACCGTTATCTCACTTGGCTGAACTTTAAATTGATTTAGTTCTAATTTAAGATCATTATTGACAATTTTTAAATTATCATTCTCTTCTTTCGCGCGTATCAAATCTTCTCTCGTTTCTTCTATTTCAATTGTCAATTTCTCTAATTCTTCTCTTAACTTGTCGATATCGTTAATATCTTTTGCAAAGTCCCCTTTGGATTTCTCGACATCTTCTTTTAATTTATCGATATGACTTTGCGCTCTTCTCAGATTATCTTCCAATTCCTCTTTTTCCATTGTCAATTTTTCTAAATCTTGCTGTGTTTTTTCACGTTCTATTAGTGACCTTGCCATATCATCTTTTACTTTATCCAACTCGATCCAAGCGTTATTCAACTTGGCACTCGTGTCCCTATTTTCGTCTTGTAATCTGCTACATTCCCTCGTCAATTTGTCGTTTTCAATCTCGGATTTTCTCAAATCCGCCTGTAACACCAGCACTTGATCTTCCAAAGCAGCCGACTCGATCGTTAACCGCTCGTTGTCCGCTCGGCATCTATTTAGATCATCCCGCAAATGAGCCAAAGCGCCTTTTAAGGCATCCAATTCCTTCAAGGCAGCGCTTCTGCCTGTTTTCTCTGCATTCAAATCCTTAACTAAGTCATCGATTTGTGCTCGTGCGTCATCAGCATGGGCCTTTGAAATCGCAGCCTGAACTTTCGCGTCGTTCACCTCCTTTTCGAGTCTCTCCTTCTCTCTCTCTTTTTCAGTCGATAAGTCAACGAGCTGTCCTTCCAGAAATTTAATCTTCGTTTCGGCATCGCCGAGTATTTTCTTCAACTCATCGATCTCTTCCTTTAACTTGCCGTTCTGATTCTCAGACTTATCGAGATCGCTCTTCGCTATTGTTAAATCGAACTTGAAGGAATCGAGTTCTGTCGTTATTTTAGTATTTTCGGTCCTCAAAGCGGCATTTTCGTACTTCAATCTAACATATCGTTTATTCACGTCGTTCAATTCCTTTTTTAAGCTCTCGTTTTCCATGCGCGTTTTATCCAATTCTGCCTTCAGCACTGATAATTCCCCGCTTAAAACGATCATCTCTTTCTCAGCAGCTTCTTTAGCAGCTTTATTCGATATAATTTCTTTACCTAATCTATCCACTTCCATTCGTAAACTGCCCAATTCGTTCAAAAGCGATTCCTTCTCTTCTAATAATGCGGCCACGTGATATTGTAACTTGTTCATCTTATCCTGCGCATCAATTGATGATTCTCTTAAATTCTCTACTTCATCATTCAGCTTGTCGTATGTTAGTTTAAATGCATCAAAATTTTTCTCCAGCTTTTCCATATCCGCTTTTAATCTATCGTTTTCCGATTGGCTAGTAGATAAATCTGACCTAATTTGTTCCGATAATACCTGTTCAGTTGTCAGATTTGATGTCAAAGTTCTGATTTCAGCTTTCTGTCTATCATTCTCGTCTTTTTGCTTACTATACTCTTCCTCACATTTCTGTCGTTCTTTTATTAAATTCATGTTTTTCAATTTCAAATCATCAATTTCGGACATAATTTTTGTTGATTCATTTCTCAATTCGTTGTTTTCAGCTGCCAATGTATTTATTTTCGATTTTAATGCATCATTATCAACTCTCAAAGCTAATATTTCATTTTTCACGTTTTCAAGTTCCATTTTTAACGTTGATACTTGACGCGACAGATTATCTTCTTTGCCTCTCATCTTATCGTTCTCGACTCTTAATTTAGTCAATTCAATTTTTAATGCTTCGAGTTCTTCTTTCAATGCAATGACTTCGTCGCTGACTTTCGCCAATTCTTCCATAGCCTCTTTTTTAGCAGATTTTTCAGCGAGTGAAGTCAGATTTAGTCTTTCCAGTTGATTTTTAAGCTCTGTAATTTCTCCTTCGAGCTTAACCTTTTCATTCTTAAGATTAGTTATATCCTCCTCTAATGATTGTCGCTCAACCTATGAATTTCAAAATAATTATTATCAAAAATAAAAAGTTAGACGCAAGGAATATGAATTATAATTAATTCTACCTTGCAAACGTTTAAATCTTCCTTTGTCTTTTCACTCTCGATAGATAGTTTATCTATATCCATTTTGAGTTTGCAATTCTCTATTTTCCAATATTCTATATCTTCTTCCGATTTAGATATCTTCGATTGGAGATCAAATATTTTTGGTCTTAAATTATTAATCTCGCTCGTCATTTCAGCATTCGTAACTTTTAGATTTGATAATTCTTCGCCCAGATTCAGCAATTCATTTTTGAGAGCATTTCTTTCTTCTTTTAGGGCATGATTTTGCACTTTTAATTCATCGATCTTCGAGATCAAATTTTTCATTTCATTTTTCAATGCTGTTAACTCTTCCTGAATGTCTCGTTTAGCAGCAGTTTCTGCACTAAGATCTAGTTTTAGTTTGTTGATTTTGTTTTGCAAAGCGTTGATCTCGTCTTGTACCTCATCCTTATCAGTCTGTAAACTAGCGATCTGAGACTCGAGCAACTTAACCCGATTTTCAGCGTCCTCAAGTTGTTTTCTTAATTTATTTACTTCATCCGTCGATAAATTTACTTGTTCCTTCATTTTGCTTACCTTTGTCTTTAGTTTATCATTTTCATCTTTGTAGTTATCCATTTCCGCTTTAATAGCTTTATTGTTTTCTGCCATTTGGTAAATGTCTATCCTTAGTTGTTCATTTACAACTTTCGTCTCCTTCAATTCATTATTTAGTCCAGCCGTTTCCTTCCGCAAATCTACAACTTCGTTATTTACTCTTATTAATTCGTTATTTGAATCATCTATCTCCTTCCTCAGATTTTCTATTTCAAATAATAATTTTGTTAACTCTTCCTTCCCATCATCTGCTTCTTGTAACAATTTTCTGTTTTCCAACTTTAATTTTGCTACTTCGCTTTGTAGAGCATTAAAATCTGAGAATAACTTATTATTATTTACATTAGCCTTCTCCAATTCTTCCGTAAGAACTTCATTCTTCACTTTAAACTCATCCAATTGTTTCTTTGCATCAACTAACGTTGAATCTGTCTTAGACAAATCATCTTTAAGAAGAATATTTTCAGATTTTAAGTTGTCTCTTTCGGCTGTCAAATTGTCCTTTTCGGCTGTAATCACAAGATTTTCATCTTTTAGTTTATCGCTATCAATCTTCAATCTATCCATCTCTTCCAGTAATCTATCGAGACCGTCTTTTAATGCAGCTCTTTCGGATTTTAACTGCTCTGTCTCCGCCACTCGTTTCTCTAACTCATCCTGTAAATGTTTATTCTCAGATAATAATTGATTAACCTCCATCTTAACATTATTATTTTCGTCTTTCGCAGATTCTAATTCCTTAATCATATTATCAAGATTGTTTTTCAAGGCAACATTTTCTTCTTTACGTTCATTAGTCTCCAATTGAACATTTTCCAATGCCTTCTTCAAGAATTCATTCTCAGTCTCGAGACTATGCAAATTGTCTCTCGCACCCCCCAGCTCCTTTTGCGCCACTTGAAATTTTTCTTCCTGGAGACGCAGGTTAACATTCAACTTATCGATCTCGTTTCTTAACTCGTTATTTTCATCTCCCGTTCTTTTCAATTTCTCTTGTGTTTCTCGTACTTCTATATCTAATGACGCATTCTTAGTACTTAATTCATCGCATTCGGATTTTATTGTTTCAATATGCTTCCTCAGGGATTCACTTTCATTGTTTAATTTATTTATTTGATCATTTCTCTCCGACACAATGTTCTGTAGCTTCCCTAATTCATCGAGAAATTTCTTTTTCTCTATCTCGAGATTATACAGTTGAAACCTCATATCTTCGATCTCGTTTTGCAACTTGCTCACAACCAGTTCAGATTGCCCCAGGCTGCTAAGAAGCTCCATAATCTGCAAGCAAACGTCCAATTGTCATAAACTGTTGCGAATTAAACGTGTAAAACATCCGCAACTTTTGCGTGATTGATCGCAAGTATCTCTGCACGCATAGATAAATAAAGTGAGATACCTTATCGTCAGGTTCCTCTTTTTTTATCTCAATCTCCTCCTCCGCGTCTTTACGACTGACGGTCACCTGATCCATATCTAATGCCAATGCGGAAGCTTTTTGCTCTTCAAGTTCGCTCTTTAGAGCCTCTGCGTAAGCCGTTTTCTCGTCTAAATGCATTTTCAATTCGCCCAGAAGCTCTTCGCAATTCTGAAGGCGGCTCAGTAACGTCGATCTCTCTGTATCTATCTCTTCTTTATCTATAGATGGAGGAGCGATACTGTCTTCTAAGATCGGTACATCAACCTCCCTGATCGAACGACGCATTTGCATTAACTCGGCTTGCAGACGCTCGTTCTCTGTTCGTAGATTTTCGTAGCTTTCTGAGAGATCCACCGTCTGCATTGATCTTTCGACAATTACGGGTAGTACCTGTTGATCGGCTTTCTGACCATCTTTCATTAACTCGCGAAGCTTTGCCCTCAAACGGTTTAATGCCGCGCAGGAAGTATCCTCCTCGGCTTCCGCCAGTTTCAACTTAAAATGCGATATCGTATCTCGCATTCTGTTGAAATATTAACAATTTATACATCATTATATTCTGCATTTAATGAAGATTGATAGTTTTCAAAGGAAATGTGAAACGAGCAAATAAACTATGATTAATCTTCTTTCAAAGCTATATAACTTTATAAGGTACGAAACAAAAAGAGCTCTTAGCCATTAATTTCTGAGCTATTAATTGATAATAAATTCATAGACCGCAGCGTTTTTTCTTATTGTGCAATGAAGAAGAAACTTTTCTATTAGAACGATGCGTGAAAAGACGCATTGCTGTCTTGACGAAGTCTCATATTCAATTAGCACTAGTACCGTTTCTTTTCGGCAGCGAAACGATCTCTCAGCGCTGCTATTTTCTCCCTCATGTATTTAACTTTCTCGCAGGGATCGTCGCAGCAATCTCGTTCGGCGAGGCTCTCCTCGAGGTTACAAACTTTTTCAGCCAGTTCCTCATTTGCATTTTGCAGTCTTTCGTTTTCCTCGCGATAATGCACGAGCAAGGGATCGGGACCAAATATTCCGTCGGGTTTCCCACCTACATGAAAATTACTTGACCGCTCGAAATATACATACATATATATATATATATATATATATATATATATATATATGTATGTATATTCGTAATCCTCTTTTATGCGGTTAAAAAGAACAGAGTCTCTCTCTTGCGGTGCGCTATGCATGCCGATTCCGCAGACTTAAGAGCAAAGAACAAGAATGGAATTTATATATATGTATAATAATAAGACACACACATCCTCTCCCTTTACATCAAATTATATAATTCAAGAAAGATTATTTTATATATTTCTCAATCAAAGTATATAAAACTAACTGATGTAACTAATTCATGAATCTTTTAACAAAAGCTATTATAATAGAACTATTACACAAGTAGAACATGATCGATTATTCCTAGCGTGATTCGAGAGATATATAGGAAATGTAATAATATACAAGAAACGAAGGAGAGAAAAGTTCAGCTATGAAGTGGAACATCGATACCGAGTGATTGTAGGGCTTGTTTCAGAGACCTATTTTCGCTCTCGAGTTGCAGGCGTTCCATGCGCCATTTCTTCATCTGGCACTTCATTACCGTCAGCTTTCGCAAGGCAAACGGCAAATCATAGATCTCCGATTCTTTCGAATCGTCGCTGAAAGGATTGTAATCGCAGCAACAGCATGGCTCGTTGGGCGATTCGATCGATTTTAGTGACCGTGGTGCATGGCATCCGCAAGAACAAAATGGTGATCGATTCTCCATGACCTCTGTTATAATTTTAAGGATCATATTTAATATGTTTGATGTCCGTAAAAGCGTATCGTATAAAAGATTTAAAGGTTAGGAACTAATACCAATTGCATATGTAATTGTGTATATAATTATATTCTTATCTCTCTGTGTATATAATTATATTCTTGTCACATTATCGGAAATTTATTTAACTCGGGTCAATTTATAAATAATTCATCCAGCTATAAAATAATTTAACATTGTTTGCAAAAGAGTTTCTCTGATTTTTGTACGCATAAAAGTAGCACAAGAAAATTTATAAGATATCTCTTTTTTTTTAGAATAGGTCACATTATTCTCGAATTCAACGCTGACGAGATCGATATAACTCGATTTATTAATATCGCGAATTAAGTTTCAAGCGATTTAATCACGAAATTATAAGAAAATAACACATAATTTGACGCTAAATTAATAATCAGGCAAATTGATTATTAATTTCTTTCACGTCTTACGTTACAATTTCTAAGTACATATTAAGAATTTTGGTTCATATGTCGAGAATCCTGCATGAGATTCCATCGATGTAGTTAAATGGCTTTTAGATGAAGACATTACGATACGCGCATTGATATAACTTGACTTATTAATATCGCGAATTAAATTTCGAGCGATTTAATCACGAAATTATAGCAAAATAACACATAATTTGACACTAAATTAATAATCAGGCAAACTGATTATTAATTTATTTCACGTCTCATGTCACAATTTCTAAGAATACGTCAAGAATTTCGATTTACATGTCGAGAATCCCGTGAGATCCCATCGATGTAGCTTATGGCAGCTTTAGAATGGAGACATTAGGACACGCGCATTATTCACCAAGTTTCCTCTCCCAAAGTTCGCGCACCGGGAAACCGGAAGTACCGGTTATGTACGACCCACATAATTAAGCGGTCGCTATAATTGAATTGCGCGCACAGTATGCCCGGCGAGTCCTCGTTAGAACAGTCTTATTAGGTGTTCCGATATTGAGGGGTCGGCGCAGCGATACTGAACGCTTCTTAAGTTTCGAGAGTTTCGAGAGCACTTGAACCACGGTTCGGTTCTGTTCAAGAACTTATCGATAGGTCCCGTCATCAATTAAATCTGCGCGGTAATTGCAAAGGAAAGGGGAAAACACGGCGGTGTACGGGGTCTCGAACTTCACGAAACTTTGCGCCCCCTTTTTGCTCACCGTTCGCTCGTGTCGTTGCTTATGCAAAATCATCATTTTATTAATCGAATTGGCGTAACGAAACAACGGATCGGCTCTCACAAGATGTATTATAAATATAAATATGTTGTACAAATGACATGCTGTCACGTGACACACAGTTGTCAAATTTGTCACATGCTGACAAATTTTCGAAGCAGATTGAAGGCGTCTCTATTTGTATTTTTCTGTCACACCTTTACATAAAAATCGATTTCTTATCTTCGGATGTATTCGCTCCCTCACTTGGCACCTCAATATATCTACCTATAAAAATTTTCAAGTATTAGTATTTCAAATATTGACAAAACGTTTATAGAAGACTTCAAAGTTCCTGTTATAAAATTCGCGTACACGTAATGAAAAATATTTATCGATATTTACACCAACGCCAATCACGATGCTTATATTAAATTTATAAACAACACTAATGACACTAACCGCAACGAAATTAGTTAATATTATTCTAATAAAAATTGTATAATATAAAGGTAATTATCTAAATTTATTAAACGTAGAAGAACCTTTTAAATTCTAAGTTTTAAAAACTTTTTCATCCAACGTTAATATTTCATAAAATTATCACGCTTGATGTATTATGTTACATGTTACATAACCTTGGGAAAAGTTAAGAAGCGACAATGAGCGACGGATATCTCGACGATTACTTGCCAGTGATCGCAATTGACGTCGCCGTCGAAGAGAAGACGAGACTTGCCAAGATGGCTGTTGCAACTTTGCATAAACTCCACAACATGATGCAGCAGATGAAGGATTGGCGGGACGATAGTGCAAAACTAAAGAGTAATATCTGGCGAATGAAAATGGCTTTGCGCGCGGATGAAGACAAGAATGAGAACGATAACCAGCAGATCGATCCTTTGATCGTACATCAGAGAGCAGAGATTATCCGGTTGGAGCAGGCGAACGACACTCTGGAGAACGAGGTAACGAGTCTGAAAGACGCCCTGACGAAAGCCGAAGAGGATATCGCGCGTGTCGCCGTCTGCGAGATAAGCGATAAGATCGCCAGGATCGAAGACGCGTTCTCGAACGAGAAGGAACGTCTGAACGACGAAATCCTGCGCCTGAGGAAGCAACTGAAGGAAGCCGAGGAAGGCAAGACGAGCATCGTGCTCAAACTTAGAGAGAAGCTGAACGAGTTCGAGAGAGGAGATCGAACGATAGAAGCGGTGTTCGCGAACGCAATTGGCAAGATCGTCGAGACAGTCGTCGGTCTCTCGGAGGAGCTCGTAAACGTTAGCGAGAATCTGTATCGATTTAAGACGAAAAATAAAAACCTGCATCTCAAGCTGGACAAATTGAAGGCTATGCTAAGATTAAAATGCGGTAGCAACACGGAATATTGCAAGAGGATCGGCGAATTGAACAATCTTGCGGAACAATTGATGGGAGAAATGGGCCGGTTGAAAGTTATTCGCGAGAATGCGAACTGCGGCGAAAGTCCAGAGGATATTCCTAGCGTTGTTAGACACGTGGAACGCTTGATGAACGACTTGAGGAACAATCTGAGGAGCGATCGCGAGGCGATCATCGCCGCTGGCGATCCAGATTGTTTGAAATACATGAAGAAAGTGGTTAATCTCAAAGTAAACTTGAAAGTGTTGTCCGTAGAACTTAGACGATCGAACGTGCCGATACATAAACGATCATACGAGAATGTTCGGTACAACAAGTATTTAGAAACAGCTTCATCATTAAATAATTTCTTGAAAGAAATCGACATCGAAATTTCAAAATTAAAAATAAATCCAATGGACAAGCATTGTAGAATCGGTGGCATCAGTGGCTCACAATATATGACGAAAATCGTAGAACTTGAAAATATCGTTAAAAAATCGTCCGCGATAACCGCGGTCATAAAACAAAGTCCATTAGAAGTTATAAACACTAATAGAAAAATAATGAAGGAATTGGAGGACTTGATTGATCGATTGTGTCGCAGAATAAAAGATCTCGAAATTTTCGACGATCGCGCGAGTTTATGCGAAAGAATCGCACACCTTGAAACATTAATCATGGATTTGAAATTGGAACTAATGGAAAAAGGCAAACGTATAAATACGCTGAACGATGAATATGTAAATGTTAAATTATTATTAGAGAAAAATGGTAAGAAATACGAGAGGATCATCGATGACATACGCGATGAAAACAAAAATCTTCGAGAAGATATAAAGAGAAGAAAACAAGAAATATTAGAGCTGTCGCATGAACACGAACATTTCGAGCAGCGTGTCGCGGAAATGCAACTGATGAAGGTCGAAATTGATGTGGTAAGAAAAAAATTGCAGACCCTTCGCGATGACAAAGAGACGCTATTAAGGGAAACAGAAGAGATGCGTAATATTCTCCAAGAGAGAGACAAGGAAATTGAGGATATTATTATTCAACGGAATGCGCTGAAAGGGGTCCTTGAGGCCGAGGTGGAGGATCTGAAGATGAAACTTGGGATCGCTTCTGACGAAAATGTAAAACTGAGAAGTATAATTGAGGGACTTGGGAAACAGGAGGAACCCGAGCGACTGGACAAATTGAAAAGTTCCGTAGAGGAGAACGTTAGGGAGAACCGAGACAATGGCGAATATTCGCGAGAGCGTGCGCGAAACCTCAGGGATGAATTAAAACGCTTGAAAGCAGAGTCAAATGAGTCTGAAATAAGCCTGAACGAGGCGAACGAGCGAATCGGCTATCTGAAATGTACGCTAGTTAAAACAGTTGACGACAAAGCGAAGCTGGAGAATGAAATTTCTGATCTAAAGTCCAACGAGCAATCGTTGACGTATCGATTGAACGTCCAGACAAGCGCCGACAAGGAAACATTGAAGGAATTCGATAAAACGATGGCGGAGAACAAAGCGTTAGGGAGTAAAGTCAAACAGCTTGAGAACGAGAAAGAACAACTTGAGGCGGAGTTGTCGAAGTTGAAATCCGAAAAAGGATTACCGGATAGGTTGATGGCCGATGCCAATAACAAGTGCGCCACGTTGCAGGATCAAGTTAACAAATTTAAGTCCGAGCGTAACGGCCTGCGGGAGAAGATAAGCGAGCAGGAAACTACCGTGGAGAATTTAAAGTTCGAGTTGAAGAAGGCACGAGAGGAGCTCGAAGATGCGGCTGCTAAAACGGCACGACTACTATCGGAGAATTCGAGGATCGTTGGCGATTTGGATGCGCTTTCTGTCCGAGCTATCGAGACCGAGGACCGCGTACGAGTGCTGTTGACAGAAAAGAACGAGCTGGCGACGCGTATTAACGAGCTCGATGATGAGAATGTCGCCTTGCGAGAGCGCTTGAATAAAGCGGAAGCGGAGAATGAATATTTTTCCGTGGAATTGAATAAATCAAGAGTCGAAAATGACAAAGCGAAGGCGAGGAATGCTCTCTTGCAGGTTACTTGCAACGAGAGGGAGAGGGATATCGGTGAGCTGGCGAAAGAAAGGGATGACGCGAGGGAGAGACTTAATGAAATTGGTAACGAGTACAGAATACTCGGTAATCAATTGAGAATCCAGCGAACGAAGTACGAGGCATTGCGATTTGCCGCAGCTGCGTTGCATCACGAAAATAACGATCGTAAGAGTCTTAACTTAAATAAGATCGATATGCTGTATCCGTTCGCAATGGACGAGCGCGGATTCGCGGATGCTCGTAACAAGGTTAAATACAGGCAGAATTATTCGGATGCCATGCGTACAAGCATAAGGGTTGAAATTGACGAGCAGAGGCACGGAGAAACAGAACTCAAAGTAAAATCTGATACATACACGGGTCACGATGACAAAGTAAAGATCAAAGACAATCCCAATGGTGAACTAAAGAGGCTGGGAACGGAGAATAAGGCTTTGAAATTGGAACGGGCAAATTTGAGATCCGAAAACCCCGAGATTACGATGGAACTAGCCCGCACAAAAGACGAATTCGAGGGTACGCTAGTGTGGACGAAAGAATCTAACGACGAAGAAATTATTGGTTCCATCTTGAGAAAATTTGACATCGTAAATATCTTGTATAGAAAAGAGATAAGCAATTATTTCGATGATTCGAAAATGTTCGACGACAAAGAGAGGTCCACCATCGCTATCGATCAGCTCGAAGTCGAGAATAGAGCGCTGAAGATGAAGGTAGATATTCTGCGAGATAGTCTCAACTTCAGCCTGATGAACAGCGAGAAAACGAAGACCGACTTTAGCAGAGCGACGGAGGAGATTCAGGCTTTGAAACTCGAGCTGATGAATCTAAGGGACGAGAAAGCGACGTTGAGGTCACGGCTCGAGATGTTTAAGAAAGAATTAAACGCATTAAAATCCGAGAAGATGGCTTTAAAGGATGAGCTCGCTGCTTCGAGAAAGTCGAACTTCGATCTAAGACTCAGAGTGAACGGCTTATTAAGTGTTAACGAAAAATTAAAGGAGACAAATGTGGAATTACAAGGTCGTCTGCGAGACAGATTGAGAGAAATAAATGAACATGCCGCAGTAGCATCGGAGAAAAGCTCAAAATGTAATTTTGAAAGTATATTAAATGAAGATCTAAAAAAGTATAACTTTCCGAAAAAAAATTTACGTACAATCAATCGAGAGAAGAGGGAAAGATTCGACTGTGCTTTTTCCAACAATCCGGGACTACGATCAATCGAAGAAAATCTACAACATATAGAAGGACAAAAATTAATCAGTTAAATTCTGAAATTCATAGATACGTCATATCTATTGAATTTTGTACATATCATAATTTGTTGAATCCGCGTCATATAGAAAATTTAGCAAATTAAATTATCCGCGTTATCTAGAAAATTATGATAATTAATTTTAATTAAGAAAGCGGATTTGATTATGAAATTACTTATACTTCAGAATAAAAATATGTAGCTTATAACGTGTTAAGTTAAAGGATGTGTAAGTACAATTTTATTACGCTCTGATAACTTGTCATGCTTTGAATGCCTCTCTTTGTATACTTTATTTACCTCCTTTACTTGATAAAGGTTTCACGTAAACGGCAGTTCTTCTAAAATTCATAAAGATAACTCGTGTTCTCTTAGCGAGCACCAAAGAATCATTTTAAGAGCGACTGACAAAACCTCCTGAAAGCGCGTAGCTACTTAATCTTCAGCGCTTTTAGGGCGACGAGTAGTTAAAGCCAAACAGGACAATGACAACAGCGGCGTGACGATGATAAGGACGAAGTGCGGTGTCGGTGAAGCGCGTAATAATGCATTTTAATCGCGTGTGCATGTCGAGCCATTATCGCATACTCTACGACCACGGCATCACGTTGAAAATTCTCATCTGAGATTATTTCAGCAAAAAGCCGAAGCTCGCTCTGCGGCATAGTTGCTTTGCTCATCTATCATTCCCCTAGACTGCCGGAGTGCAATGTGGTACGTTGCAAATAAGCGCGGATAGTCCTCGAGCATTCCTGCAACCGTATCTGTTCTTTTTATACTTTCCGATCTTTAACTTTCAATTTTGATCTTTATAAAGTTATCTCTATGATTAGATTACAATAAATAGATTAGATATTTGCAAAGAGAAATAGCGCTTCTCTTTTTATTGAATTCGTGAAACGTATCGATTTTAGATGTCAACGAAAATTAATTATAATTAATGTACCGTAATCAAATTTTTGAAATAAGGCCACGAAAATCAATATATTGCTATCTTGATGATACTTATTTATATCGTAATATATTTAAATTTATATTTCGCAATAATTATATTTATTCATATTACTCTCTTTTAATCAATTCATTAAATATTGTTATATTTATTAGGCAAGCTATATATATACATATATGCATATGATCTTATTAAACTCAAATGTTGAAATTTCGTTGCAAAAGTTAAATATTCTATGGCATCTTTTGAAGCATCCCTGGTGTCGTACTGTGGTGTGGTTGCTCAAAAGTGATCTTGCTCGTAAAATATCATATCATTACTTTCTGAATTCTTTCGTTAAATTCTTCCTTTCGTATCCAATAAAAATTTCACATATTCGCTTGAAAGATACAAGAAATAAAAATTTCGTATATTTGCTTGAACGATACAAGAAATGAAATAGTACATTTCAGTGTATTACGCTTATATATTCAGCCATTAAATTTTCTTGAAATTATATTGATCAAATAGATTGAATAGAATTTTATTTACACAATTACAGTAACTATTTTGTTATTTCTTTATCATTCTATGCTCTTTTTACTAATTTTTTCTTTAATAATCATCTTATTCTATCGTAATTAATCAACAACAAATTAATATCAACACACAATATCTATACAAAGAGGTAAATGATCTACTTGATAAAGCTCAAGATGACTGCACCTGCCATTATACATATATATAAATGAATATATGAGATATTTTTTAAAAGCTAGGGATTTAAATATAATTTATGCGACGACAAGTAAACAAATTTTATACTTTGAAATAGTCAAAACAATAGAATCTTGATATAAAAAAATCACAAAATTATTATCAAAATATTTCTATTCGTCTTATTATTTTGATATCACATCTCAATTAAAAATCACAAATAAAAATAAAAAATTGAGCCATTCCGTACAAAAATGATCAAAATTTATTGTTTTTTAGTATTTTGTATATAATTTATATAATTAAAATATAATAGTATATTCTTCATTTTTATTTTTGTCTACTATGAGTTAGAATTAGCATGACATAATTATTGATTGCAATATTTCGTTAAAGTTAATTTATAATTACAATTGTAATATATATGTATATGTGTGTATATACATATGTATATAAAATAATCATAACTGACAGCAGGATAAAACCAAATACTATCTAATTTAAATTGATCAATATTCTTGAAACACATAAAAAAATATGTAAAAAATATATAAAAATTAAATTATATAAAAAGATAAAAAATAGATAAAATTACATAAAAAAAATATAGTAATCTTGTATGTTCAATCGTGATAGTTTTATGCTTCCCACGTATTATTTTTTATTTTTACAATACGCACGAGATAAAAGCGCACTCGTATTCGATATGGAAACGTGTTCGGAAGTATATTTTGTAATATCTTTCGTGATAAATCAACTGATCGCGTGTAACAGTGGACATCACATGCATAAAACCATTGAATTGTCATAACAACAGATGTTACAACGGGTACTTCTTTGTTTTGCGACTCTGCATGCGAAATATACATCGATACAAATTTTTCTGCTCCCGATTATTCTGTTCCACGTTATCACAGATTAAATATATCTGAAAAGATATTACGTACACATAGGTATATATATATGCCATGTATATATATATATATATGTATACATTATGTATATATACAATTATATATCATATGATTCAAATGAAGAGATGTCTTTCCCACTCTGTTAACGCAAAATTAATTCAACCAATTGCAAAATATAAAAAAAATATGAAAAAAATTATAAAATGATGTTAATTCACATGCTTATTTCACCCTACATGTCTATTATTAAATGTATTAATGTAAATCATTTTTTAATCCAAATAATGTAATGATAAATTAATGCTCACTATATCACACTGTAACTTGCAAATTTCAATTCTATACTGAAGAGATCACAAAACACATAAATAGAAAAAAATTCTACTCATTTTCTTTATTTTGAAACATAATAATATGTGTTTCTGATTTTTAATTGCCACATTATTCATATTCAAATAGAAGCGTTTATAGCATCTGATTTTATCTGAATGAGACATTAAACATTTAATGGACATTAAATATTTGTAAACAATTATTTTGTAATCTAGATTAAAAATATTTTTTTTAAACATTGTCATTAAGAAGATATGTTTTACTTGGAATCAAATAGCTATCTGATAGATATATGTATATAATATAATAAATTGTATTATTTCAGTAATTCAATAAACAATATTTTTAATCAAAACTTTTCATTATTTTCAATTATCTATGTTTAATCAGTATTAAAGTAAGAGAATTGCATATAGATAAGTTTTAATATAAAAGATATATAAAGGAAATAATACTATTACTATATGTATGATTTTATCTTATCAAATTTATCTATTTGTTTTTATCATAACGTATTTATAAAGTAACTCTTGAATTCAAGTATTTAATAAAAAATAAGAACTGTACAAAAAATATTTTTTTAATATTAAATAAAAACAATATCTTATCTTTATGTGTGCCACTTGACGAAGACAAAAAAGCAAAACTCATATCCTCCGAGACATGTGATAAATTTTTAAATAAATCTTTTTATATAAAGATGTATTTTTTCTTTTATTTTAAAATTGAATTTTAGAGATATCAAGTATTAATTTCATAAAATATTTTTGCCACAGGAAATGCAAAAGAAAAAACATATAGACAATTCATCCAAATCTTTACATAAATCTTACGTAAAAAGGTTTGTTTCAGAATTTATCATAAATCTTGGAGAATTACAAGATTCTCTCTCTCTCTCTCTCCCCCCCCTCTCTCTCTATCTCTTCTATGCTTCTCAATTTGCGTGTCTCTGAAATTATTTTCATTATAATCATGCTTCATAACACGAAAGTATACAATGGACGCAGGTCGTTGCAAATAAAGCGCAATGCGTCGAGTTGCACAATCAGATTGCGTTTCGCAAACGCGGTCCACGTGCTGGTCCACGATTAAACAGACTTTAATTGTGGAAAATCACCGTAATCACGAAACGCGCTAGCGTAAGCTCGTTTTTTTCTCATCCTGGTATCATCCCTGATGTTAAACGAGAGCAAATAGTAAATTAAGGCTGAAAGAAAAAGAGAGCAATTTTACAAAAAATATAACTATGTACCAATTACATAATATTATAATAAAAGATCACACAGACTCAAATATTAATGTTGCAATAATGAATTCCTATATTAGATGTAATTTATATCGAACGCATAATTTCGATTGTAATTTATCAGTAAAGATAAAAACAAAGCATGGTGATATAATACGTAATAAAATGTTGGATTATCTGTGATAAATCATGCGAGAATATAAAGTAGCTATTCGTCGTAGTTATAATTATAATACATAGTTATAATTATAATTGAAATATATTTCATACTTATTTAATAAACTAAATTAAATATAAAATAACAGAAATTTAAAAATACTTTTAGTAATAAAAATACATAAGAGAAAAATATACTTTATATAAGTTAATTAAAATTCCATAAAAGATCCTAGAAAAAAATGTGAAAAAATAGAAATATATAAAATGCAATATATATATAATAAAAAGAAAAATAAATTTTTTTAATTAATTTAAAAAAGAAATTTAGAATTTATATTTTAAAATCGGAGAAAAAAATGATTTATATGTGCACATGAGAACACGTACAAAAATATAAAAAATTAATAAAAAAGGATATATATATTACTATATCATTTAATTAAATTTAATTAAATTTTCCCAATTTATTTTTTGACAATAATTTTTCAGTACATTATCCCTCTACAAAATATATATATATTATGTCGAGACTTGAAAGTCTCGAAGTGTATTTTGTTGCCTTCTTTCTATTTATAAATATATATATAAACTTAAATTTTTTAATTAAAAATATATAAAGTTTACCAAACCAAAATATATAAAGTTTAATCAAAAATAAAAATCAGAATTACATCATACATTAATTAAAGTTAATGAGAATTAAATGAAGGCTGAAACTTTATATTAATTTCCAAATGTATTTAGCAATTCATTTATATACGTACGCATGCGTCGAAGAGCGATCTACAAATGACCATCCCAAAAGATGCAAAAATTTCTTTGTCTTGATTGATCAATCAATTACTATCCAATGAGTAAATTGTCGAACGCAATTTTGCATATCTAGTGAACTTTCCGTTAAGTCCAATTTCCAAACGATAAGCGGTCAGCAGCGTTGGCAGCATTGCGATCAATAGTGACATTTTCGCGTCTCGCGTCAATGTTGGCAGCGCCAAATGACGATCTCAACTCGGACAAGTGTGTGCTCGACTTCATTCGTTCGGCGACAATGGCAGACCTCGATCAGTTTCAACAGCTTTTAAATACACTCCTCAGCACAGATAACGATGCCCGGACGCAGGCGGAGGTACGTAAGACGTCGGCACGTCTCTTGGCCGTGCGCGGAGGACGTCGATCGCGTCGCCAGGAACGCGAGTACACTCGCGTGCACCGCGCTGCGGCACATTCAGTGGCGAGCACGTTGCCGACGTGTTGTCAGAGCTCGCATGTGGGTGTCGTGGGCGGCGCGGCTCGCGCGACACGCGACCCTTCGATCGGTTCGTCGGCCAACCACGACGGGTCGAGTCGAGGAAAATCCATCGCGAGGCGAATCATTTCGACGCATTGACAAGTATATCCGCGCGCGATCGGCCGAGAAATCCAAAATGGTGTCTCGCACGCGAGTAGCGCGCGCGCGTGTCATCGGCCCGTCATCGGTCCCGCGTGTTTCGCCAGGCGCGCTCGCCTGGATGACGGATGGTCGCGCGGCCCGTCAGATTCAGCGAGGTTCCGTTACGTTGGAGCGTCTCCGGGGCAATCCGCGCGGATTAAAGATCCCGCGTTACATGTGCGCAATTTATTATAGCGAATTGCACGCGACTCCGCGTTTCATCTCGCTTTCCCGCCTACGCAGGATTCCCGCGATTTCCGGCGATCGCTTCCGCGAAGCGAGTCGCGTGTCCTATCATCTTGCTCGATGCGATCTATCTGACAGGTCGAGGAGTCGCGACTTGGGATCGTTCGCTTGATTTTTATCGTTACGCGCGAGATATCTTGTATATACATACACGTTTTACCTTGACTCACGGCCCGATCACGTGTCACGCATTCACCGAATATTCATATATGCGCGCTGATATAAGTATGCACTTGGCGTGGAATGAGTCAGATTCAGCTTGGTAAATTTAATTTTGGAGCGAGCTTTGATTTTAGCATTTATACATGCCATTCACGTACACATACATTGCATATATTCTTTATTTTTATACATATACATATATGCAACTTGTAATATATATAAAACAACAGGGCAAAGACACCTGTTTTTGAAGTAGAACCTCTTTTATATATTGTTTTATAATTTTTGATATTGTTATATTATTTAAAGCTTCTTGTGATGTATTTCTTTAAAATTTGATTCAAAAAAAAAGAAATAAAAATTTTGTTATATTTTTCAAAACAATTATACATTTTTGAAGGAAAGGATATTGTTTGATTAATTATCCATCGAGGGAAGAATTTTAGCTAATATTTTTAAATGAAAATTTATTTAGGAGGCGTACGGTAATCTTCCAGTCGAAAGCAAGGTGACATTTCTTTTAACTACTATTTGCAATGGTACACTTGCTGAAGAATTGCGGTCCATGGCTGCAGTATTATTGCGTCGACTATTCGCTTCTGAATTTATGGATTTCTATCCTAAGGTAGATATTATTTCTTTATGTTTCTCTACTATTTAATTATTAAAATACTTTTTGTTAATATACACTTTTCAATTTTGTATTATTAATCGATATATAATTATTTCAGATCCCACCAGAAGCACAAGTTCAATTGAAAGAACAAATTTTATTATCAGTTCAAACTGAACAGACAGATACTATACGACGTAAAGTCTGTGAAGTCGCGGCTGAAATTGCCAGGAATTTAATAGATGAAGATGGCAATAATCAATGGCCAGAATTTCTTCAGTTCCTATTTCAATGTGCAAACAGTCCATTACCAGCATTAAAGGAAAGTGCACTCCGAATGTTTACGTAAGTTTCCTTTAAATCCATTTTACAAATAATGGTATATTTATTGAAAAAGTAAAAATAAAAAGTATATTGTGTATCTACAGATCCGTCCCAGGTGTATTTGGAAACCAACAAACAAATTATCTTGATCTGATAAAACAAATGTTACAGCAATCTGTTCTAGATGCGGCAAATTATGAGGTAACATGCAATTTACATTAGTTTTATTTGTTCTAACGGGAGATAGATGCACGAGTTTTTACAAAATAAAAATTACTCGTCACTTAATCCTTCCAAAAACAATTATTAAATGCCTTTTGATGACTGTAATTTGTGAAGTATTAATTTACAGACAGATACGGGGCGTACATTTTATATGAAACAGATTTTATTTTATATTAATAATCTAAAGAAATATAAAAAAAAATCTGAAATTATAATAAATTTTTTTATCACAATAAGAGTAAAATTATAATAATTGCAATTATTTTAATTACTCAGGTCAGATTTCAAGCAGTGAGAGCAATTGGGGCGTTTATAACATTACATGACAAAGAGAATAATATACACAAGCATTTCTCGGAGCTAGTTCCAGCACTAGTACAAGTAATTGCTCAATCTATAGAAAAGCAAGATGATGATGCTCTTTTAAAAGTGTTGATAGATCTTGCTGAAACCACACCAAAATTCCTCAGGGGACAATTGGATAATATTATGCAAATGTGTATGAATGTATTCTCCAATGATGAGATGCCTGATAATTGGAGACAATTGGCACTAGAAGTTTTGGTAACTTTGGCAGAAACTGCACCAGCTATGGTACGGAAAGTTGGTGGGAAATATATTGCATCTTTAGTACCATTAGTATTGGAGATGATGACTGATTTAGATGAGGATGAAAAGTGGAGCTTCTCTGATGAAATCATCGAAGAAGATAATGATAGTAATAATGTAGTTGCTGAAAGTGCATTAGATAGATTGGCATGTGGCTTAGGAGGGCAAACAATGCTACCACAGATTGTGCAAAACATCCCCACCATGTTAAATAATAGTAATTGGAAGTACAGGTGAATATTAAATCTTTATTATTTCTTTATAAGTATTGGATTATTATCATAATGATATCAAATATTTAATATGTGTGGTATTTATCTGTGATATTATATGTAAATAAATGTATAAAATGTCACAAAAAGTCAGCAATTGCATATACTTATATAAGTAATTGCGTTACATTTGTGACAGAATAATCAAGATGATTCTCTTTTCTAGCTGCCGTTTTGGCAGTTGGTATTTGAGATTCTCATGAATGTTCAAAAAACATTGGCAGTTATATGCTTGTATATCTATGATTGCTATACTTTTGAAACATACAATTCTTTCAATATTTTTTAAATCAAATTTTATTCTATGAAATTTATTTTTTTATTCCTTATACACACATATATAACACATTAATTCTATACAATTTAAAAAAAATGAGAAAATTTGAAAAATTGAGAGATTTTAATTTTTTATTATTTAGACATGCAGCACTTATGGCTATTTCAGCTATTGGTGAAGGGTGCCATAAACAAATGGAAAGTCTTTTGCCACAAATAATGGATGGTGTCATACAATATCTGCAGGATCCAGTAAGCATAACAAATATGTTTCATGATTTTACCTGGTATTATCATTCATAAACTATTTTGAAATTATATCTACATACCCTCATCATATAATTTATTAAAATGAGCCATAAATCGAGTCAGCAGTCATATTCATTGTTTGAGTATGATAGCGTTACATTTGTGGCAAATTAAACAAAGGAGACAAATTCTTGCTGTATTATCGTTTTGATAATATAGATTCCAAGATGTATCCTTTGTAGTTCCTGAGAGCTGATTGTTTACTATTAAACGATCATAGTTTTGGAACATACACTATTTCTATTCAAAATTTTTTATATAAGTGCAAAAATCTTCGAAAGTACTATGCAATATTATTTTCCAGCATCCTCGTGTAAGGTATGCTGCCTGCAACGCGGTAGGACAAATGTCTACAGATTTTTCGCCTATATTTGAAAAGAAATTTCACGACAAAGTTATTCCTGGATTATTGATGGTATTGGACGATAATGCAAACCCCAGAGTTCAAGCTCATGCTGGTGCAGCTCTAGTAAATTTTAGTGAAGATTGTCCGAAAAATATTCTAACACCTTATTTGGATGCCATAATGGCTAAACTCGAATCAATATTGACTGCTAAGTTTCATGAATTAGTTGAAAAGGGAACTAAACTCGTACTCGAACAAGTAAGTTGGATAAAATATAAATATTAATAAAAATTTTATAAAGAAGTGGAATTTTTTTGCAAATATATAAATTTCTGCTGTTTTTTTATGTTTAGGTTGTAACAACAATTGCTTCTGTTGCTGATACTTGCGAAGAACAATTTGTAACATATTATGATAGGCTAATGCCTTGTTTGAAGTATATTATCCAAAATGCAAATCAACAAGAACATAAAATGTTACGAGGCAAGACCATCGAATGTGTTAGTCTTATTGGTCTAGCTGTTGGCCCAGAAAAGGTAATTAATTGTTTTAATTTCTTGTTTAATTTTATAGACAAAAGTTCATTATAATGTTAAATTTCAACAGTTTATTGCGGATGCTAGTGATGTTATGGATATGTTATTAAAAACGCATTCAGAAGGTGATCTTCCAGACGATGATCCACAAACCAGTTATCTTATATCTGCTTGGGCCAGAATATGTAAAATTCTTGGTAAGACATATGTATATATTCTAAGTGTGACAAATTATGTTTATATACAAGAACTGTTAATGAACGATTAATTATTTTGTATTATTGTGTAATATGATTTCTTAAAACCACTTGTATTTTCTTAGGAAAACAATTCGAACAGTACCTACCATTGGTAATGGGACCTGTATTACGAACAGCTGCTATGAAACCTGAGGTTGCATTGTTGGATAATGAAGACATGGAAGGCATCGAAAGTGATCTTGATTGGCAATTTGTTCAACTAGGAGAACAACAGAACTTTGGAATTAAAACGGCTGGTTTGGAAGATAAGGCCTCCGCGTGCGAAATGTTGGTTTGTTATGCTCGAGAATTGAAAGAAGGTTTTGCGGATTATGCCGAAGAAGTAGTACGATTAATGGTGCCGATGTTGAAATTTTATTTCCATGACGGTGTCAGAACCGCAGCTGCGGCAAGTTTGCCATATCTCCTTGATTGTGCTAAAATAAAAGGTTAGATAATATTTCTACTAAAAAAATAATAACAATATTATAACAATAATATATACATATATTAACGTTTTTACACAGGCCCACAATATTTAGAAGGTATGTGGGCATACATCTGCCCAGATTTGTTGAAAGCTATCGATACAGAACCGGAATCTGAAGTATTGTTGGAACTATTATCCTCCTTAGCAAACTGTATCGAAAATTTGGGCGCCGGTTGTTTAAATGCACCACATATGACTGAACTTTTACGGCTTATCGATAAATTACTTAATGAACACTTTGAAAGAGCAGTTGCTAGATTAGAAAAACGAAAAGACGAGGAAGATTATGACGATGTATTAACAAAACTTAATTATATATGTATAACTTTTTAGAAATTTTTCTTTGTATATTAATATTCTTTATTTATATTTAGGTCGTTGAAGAACAACTTGCTAAAGACGCCGATGAGGACATAAATATTCTCGCTAGAATCGCTGATATTTTACATGCCTTATTTGCAACGTATAAGTCTTTATTTTTCCCATACTTTGATCAAATATGTGGACATTTCGTAAAATTACTGAGCCCCGAAAGATCATGGTCGGATCATCAATGGGCCTTATGTGTCTTCGATGACGTAATAGAATTCGGAGGACCCGAGTGCGCAAAATATCAAGATTTCTTCTTGCGACCTATGATTCAATATGTTTCTGATAAATCTGCAGAAGTTAGACAAGCAGCAGCTTATGGTTGTGGAGTTTTAGGCCAATTTGGAGGAGAAGGATTTGCACAAGCATGTGCAGAAGCTTTACCAAAACTAATGGAAGTTATCAACGATCCTGAATCTAGGTCGTTGGAGAATGTAAATCCTACTGAAAATGCTATTTCGGCAGTAACTAAAATTCTCAAATATAATAATAAAGCAATTAATGTCGATGAAATTCTTCCACACTGGTAAGCTTTCATATTTCAAGCATATAAGTGATTATATCTAATAAATACAAGTAAACTTTAATAAACGCTTTTGTGTATGATAGGCTAACTTGGCTGCCAGTTGGTGTAGATAAAGAGGAAGCACCTCATGTTTATGAATACTTGTGTGATTTAATTGAAGCAAATCATACAGTAGTTTTAGGAACAAATAATGCGCATTTGCCTCGACTTATAAGTTTCTTTGCTGAAGCGTTACTTAGAGAAGCTGTGCTTACCGATCATCCTGTTATGTCAAGAATTCTTAGTATTGTTAGAGAAATACAGGTGGGCATACATGAAAGATCACGTTTATATTTATTGTTTTCAAAAAAAGAATATATATATATATATATATATAAAATTAATTTCTTTTCAGAACAATGAGACAATGTTCCAGGCAATTATAATGCAATTGACACCAGATCAGCAACAAGCGCTTCACGAGGCACTTAGCACATTAAGTTGAATTTTTAATATCGTAACAAAGTAAAAATATAATAATATTAAATGCCCGCGTTAATTAATCTCCCGGGAAAAGAATCAGAGATTTTAGGTAATTAGATTATACCTATATAAACTGTTCGCTCCAGCCTACATACTTGCAAATATATTTAAGTATTTCATATACTATTATCCATGTAACTTGTTGAGCATATAATTAATTCTAATTATTATCAGTTTTGATATTCTCAGATTCAGTTTTCTATTATCAAGGATTGTTGCAAAACATTTGAAGTGAAATTTTGTTTAATATTGTTTCATTCATGATACTGTCGTAAACGAAATTAAGTCAAAAGAAATTTTATTAACTCTGAATGAATTTAAATTGACAAAATTTGGAGAAATGTAGTTATGTATTCCTAAAAAAAGGTTTTAAGCTTAATATTTGTTTATGTAATGTATATATATTTACTCTTCTTTCTTTTTTACATTACATTGGTTAACATTATTGAAAAATTTATCAATGATGACATAGACTTGAGCCGAATTTCCAAACGATACTATTCTCCGCCATTGAGAGCCGAATGATGCTAAATTTAAAAAATTTGGAAAAAATGGCTTTGTAAAAATTGCATAGTGCAGCGTACACATCATAGCTTTGTTATGTGAACATATATAATATTAAGAAATTATAATTTTCTCACTGTGATCTTTCAAATTGTGTCTATACTCTCAATTTTATTTATCCTGTTTTGGCAAAATGATGACGAAGCTATAAAATAGACTGGAACCTCATTGTAGTCATGAAGCAAATGTGTGACATTGTGATTTAGATATTTTTATTATTAAATTTAGATGCAGTAACTGTTATTTAATAATATCGATAATATTGCAATGTTGAGGTCTGTATATGGATGCCTTTTGAATGAAATGTAATGAAACATTTTAGGACTTTTAGATTCATTATAAATTTAGCAATATATAATGAATACATCTCTTTTATAGGATTATATAAAAGATGCATATTTAAGCACCGTATATATAAATTACAACTTTTTCTTGTAATTTTACAGCTAATTTTTATTGAGTTATACTTAGCTGTAATTTTACAATATTTTTGTCATATATCTAATGTTATCCGATAATAAAAAGGAATAATAATGAAACATTATACAAAGTTGATGCAAATTCATATAAAATTGATTGATTCTGTGCATTACATTTTCTTCAATTGATATGATACAATGAGAATCAAGAATATTAGTATTAAATAAAACAAACTCAGTGAAATGATTTGTTTAAATAATTCATCGTTGCTATTTATTTATGTACTCTGGCAAATTTGCAATTATATTAATTTCACTGAAGGAAAATATAAGTATAGAAGCTCTTTGTGGCTCTACTTTTTCAATATAAAAGTTCCAAGTAGCCTTTCTTTTTTTACTATGGTATCTAAAGAAGTAAAATTGAAGAAATAACATTTATTTGTACATACAATATCAAAGTATATAAATATCAAACAAAAATAAAGAATTGAATTATTCAATTGTAAGTATCCTTGATATATGGCAGACACTGCCTCGACAATTGTTGCATGAAAAATCAACACTACAATCTTGTAAAATGCACATATACTTTATGCAAATATAAAAATCAATGTTGGACTATTTACGCGATACGTATCTGTGAGAGAGGAAAAGTAAAAATCAGTACGAAAGAAAAAATTATAGGATTCTCCTACAATTATATAGAGATTATTTTAAAAAGTTATTAATTAAAATAAATCTCAGCTTTGTAATTGATTGTTTTGCTTTTCACACCTATATATACGTAATAATTTTAATAAACTTTATATAATTCTGTAATACATTATAATAGTTAGACACATTTCTAAGAATATAATATAAAATTACTTAGCCTATTAAGTTTTTACAAAAGTTATTAAGCTATGAATAACCATAAGTTAATTTGCATAATCATTTAAAATTTATAAGGCTAAATAATGATTCTATAAACAACTTCTATACTTAAAAAAATCGTTGTGTGATGGAACAAAAAAGCTGAAATGAAGTGATTAGAAATATCGCATATTCGCATTGATTTATTGATTATTATTCTATCAGTGAAAAGATAAAATATTGTGTAAAATTTGTGTAGGTATCCTATATAATTTTTAAAGCAACGAGAACCACATGTAATGGTTGCAAAATATCATATCAGCATAGCATGGTTATTTATAGTATTCGTATTTATTAGTATTTTACTGTTTCATTGTATGATTAATACGTTTCAATATATGAATTGCATCAAGGGTAATAGGTCAATATTGCAAGAGAATGAAAATATTGGTTATTGAGTCAGCTGATATCAAGCACTTTATATGACGTGAATTAATCCTATCTGTAAAACATTTATAATTAGAATAGTTGAGAAATAATTATTGGAGCATCATCAATTTCATTTACATGCGTCAAAAATAAATCTGTGGAGAAAATTTTTTTTTAATGTCAAACAATAAGCGCTCAGAAATATATTAGTACCAAAAAGTTATAAATAAAGATGCCTTTTAAAAAGTATAAACTCGGACTAGGCATATATGATTATGTGATATGAGTAATTGTGCGATATACTTAAAGGCAACCTGTTGTAAAATGAAAACATACTACAAAGTAACGGAGGAGAGCGTCATTTGACAACGGTACTTATATGTATATATATGAGGTACTATGTGTATATATAAGCGAAATACATTCACATCTTCAACTTTTCTGTACAGCTATAAGTGCATAAGTACCCATATATATATATATATATATATATATATATATATATATATATATATATATATATATAATTGTCTATGTATCTTTATCTCTTTATAAATCTTTAATCTGAGAGCTTATAACGTGTGGTTCAAACTAAAAAGAAAAAATGTCCATTAGCAGATATCGCAAGCGATGACTCTGACATTCCTAAAAAAACTCATTTGCAGCCGCGTTTCTTCTGACACACGTGTATAAATCACATGTGATTTGCGTAAGAAGATTATCTTTTTCTGTATCTTATCACGTAAACATGAGATTATCAAAGTGGGCTAGGTCAATGTCGAGAATCGATGAAGTCGCGTCTCGGGTGTGAATAAAAACAGTGAAAGAAGTTTCCTCGAGAATACGCCTCGTATCAATTGTCACCTTTTTTTCCTGCAGCTCACTCTCCATACATACGCATCCCCGTGTATGTAGAGAGCGGTCTAGGGGAAAAGAAAGATGACAATTACGTGTATGTGCGATATGCGGACGCAGCCGGCACATGACGCCGGTGATCATCCGATATTACGTCATCGTCAGCCCCTTGACGCTCGTCTCGACGGAGGAGCGTCCGCGCCTGCGCATTACGCGCGTATCCACCGTGTCGCGTGAACGCGAACGTGTCAAACGCGGCGTACGGTGTGTCGAAAAATCGCGCACTCGATTCGATCCGCACATCGGGATTTATTGATCCGACGCGAGAGATAAGTTCGGGTGTCCCCCGTTATCGTTGGTTCTCCGCGAATCTTGAAATTGCATCACCTCGTGACACACCCCGGGTGTGCGGGGCGAGAACGCGTTTGCGACGCCCGGCAAATTTCGAAGAGTGCCCTGTGTTTGTGTTGCACGCGCGCGACTGGTTCGATAACGGTAAGAATCCGCTCAGTTTGCTCCGAAATTTGGCAGCGCTCGAATGTCGAATATAGAGGATCCATCGCGGTGAGAATTCGCACGGTGGACCCCCGCAGTCTGCGATTGTCATCCGTACAGTAGCCGTTCTCGTATGTCACGTTTGAGAGCGACGCGTGAAATAATTGATATGAAAAGATCGATGTGAGAAATTATTTCTTCCCGAGTGTTATATATATATTGCCACTTGTCGGCAATATATTTTAACGAATAGACATTTTGCATTTGCGCTTCGAAGAAACTCCCTGAAATTAACTTTTTAACTCCGGGAAGTAACCAATGACTTCGATGTTGATTGAATGAATCGATGTTGATTAGAACGGAACGTTCCAATTGTCATCGTCAGGAACAATTGACTCCCGACAGCATATATTTATAACGGTAAATGCACTGCAAAAGAGAAAACAGGAAAAAAGAAGCGGAAGAGCGCCAGCACGTTGATTATTACGGTCGAGCGACCGTAAATCACGTAATGCATAAAATATGATGCATTGCATCATTTTCGAAACTTCGCATATGGGGTGAAATTTTCGAAATTTCGCTTCCTGCGGAGGAAAGATCGGCTAATTAACAAACTTTGTTTTTTATTTCTCAAGAGAATTTCTTTTTTTCTCGAATTTCCAATTTTTGAAATATCGAGAAAATGATTTACGAGAAAAAAAAATTCTTTCCCCTGACACAATTGGCTCAATCTCTGTCACGTGGAGATTTTTGTTTTTCTCATTCTTGCCAAGATAGATATACACATAATGTTTAATCTAGATATACACGTTTAGACACGTGTCTAAATACACGTTTCAAATTTAACGTAGCGAGCTCGACCAATCACGCATTTCATACGCAAAATGCAACGTGACGTTTCCCGTATTGAAAACGCAATTGGTCGGCTTCTCTGCATTTGCTTACGTTTCATGCGGCTATATGCAAATCCACCTCAGCAGTGTTAACATTCTAACAGGTTTTCAATCTATTTTTTGTATGTGACCCAAGATTACTTTCTCAAAATTGCACTCAAACGGATAAAGAAAAAAAATAAGGATAAGTGAATTTTACGCGGAAGGCGTGCAGCTATAACGAGGAATTGACCTATCGTGGCAGGCGTCTGCTAGGTCAGCTGTTTGCGTAGCGTGGTATGGCCATTAACTCGAGACGCTGCCGAGGTAGAGTCTCTCTCTTGCATCACGTTGCATTTAACGTCCAGTCTTTCTCAACTCGCACTGCGGGAACCCGTTACAATTTCGCGCTTCTAGTCTAACTCTACGAAAGTAGACGCTGTTTGAGATCCGAGGAGAAATTCAACGCTGCTGACGCATTCGCAGTCCAGTTATTTCTCGTCGCTTTCCTCGCGTAAAGAGAAACACACCGACGCAGAACCGATCGTCCTGGCTCGTAAGTGCTGAGGAATTCCGTCAACATCGATTCTCGTGTTACACATTGTATCGATGAGCGTCGTATCTCGTTTTTCACGCGGCTTTTACGGGGTGAATTTCTTCAACGGAGAACACGACACGTCGCCGGACATCGTGCGTGACACGCGACTCGCAGGCGCAGCGTCGTGTGACGTCGATTGATACGCCGTAGATCGCGAATTTCGATCTTTAAAGCTTATCTAAACATAAAAGAATCATGCCGTCGCGGATTATACGTTTCCGATCTACCCCCGATAGTGTAATTATGGTTAAGATTCGTTTTCTTCTCAAATATACGGATATTAATATATATTTATTATAGTATAATTTTGTTTCTGTAAATGCATAGATATATATGATACCATTTACTCAAAGTGGTAGCAATATTATATTTAATTATAGTATGATTGTCTCTTTACATTTATGTAATTTATTAATAGCTGTAAATATTGTGGTATAAATGCCCCTTTTTTATCCTTAGAATTGTCCTGCATAATTTGACAATGACATTTATATATTTACAGTTAAACAAAAGCTGTATGGCAACAGCATTGCAAAAGTAAGAAAATGTCCAGGAAGCGTCCCAGAGTAGAAACTATGCTGACTACTGTATCCCTTCAGAATAATATTAATGGAGAAAACCCATCTTGTTCGAGGGAAGATTCTCCGATTCATGCTGTAAGTATTAACATATGTTATTAGCGCAAGTAAATAAATGATAGAGTCACAGTATGATTACATCTGATCTAAAAATATATTATTGTGAAATTGCAAAATGAGAATTATGTATATATTTATAAATTCTCTATATTGAATCTGTTGATATCATCAATGTTATTTATAAGAGATACAATCACTTAAAATTATCTACTAAAGATAATATAATATTGTTCTTTAACTGATAATAACCTGGCGTGATTCTAGATTAGCATATCTAATATGATAAAAGCTTGAAAATACTTTAGTACTCTAATAGTCTTGTTCAGTTTCTAAAAGTCACATTGACACACATATTGAATACAATTTAACATTTATTTAAAAATTTACATTCTATAATTTTTTCTAAAAAGCTAAATGCAATTGTGTACTTCTGTTTTTTATTATACATCAAGTGTTTTGTATGTTTTTAATATAAAAGTTAATTGCAATTTTTGACAAAGAGAACTAAGACATAAGTTTTATCTTCACACATATCAGTTAATTAAATTGTATTAAAACAATGACTTGGGGTTCTAAACAGAATTGTACTGAAAATAACGATGCAAATTTACTGCTTTTAAAAAATTGTGCAAATCAAGTATCCATTTACCATGAAAAATTTCAAGTGAGTTTACTTAAATATTTTTTATTCCTTTTTTACTCTTTTTAGTTTATTAAAATAAGATTGTAATATTACAAGTTAGTAAATGATAATATTAAAGACACACAATTATAATTAAATCTTAACACAAGTCCAAAAGAAAAATTTTTCTACTTTGCTCAATTTTTCTACTTTTATGTACAAAATATCAACAGTTTAATTTTTTATTTATTCTAGTCTATCTGTAAAGAAGCACCCTTTAGTGATGATTCAGAGGCTATTATAGAGAGAAATGCATGTGATTACAATACAAGAATTACTTTAAAACAAGCAAGGAGTGGAAAAGGTATATTTCAAAGATATCCTTAATAATACTAAATATCATGATTTTTTTCATTTGATGTATTGTTTACATTTTTTTCCAGTTCCTAGAAAAATTCGAGTTTATGCCGACGGTATTTATGATCTTTTTCATCAAGGACATGCACGGCAACTTTTACAAGCAAAGAATATCTTTGCAAACGTTTATCTCATTGTTGGAGGTAACTATACAAAATTTTATTTTAAAAATTAATTTGCTATATTATAAATCATATTATTTATTATATACTACTTATTATATAATTATATTTATGATTTTATTTATATCTATTTTATTTATATCTTTAAATTATGATAGTACTATAAATATTTATAGCATATCAATCATAATTTTTTATTTTACAGTGTGTAATGATGAGTTGACACATAGTAAGAAAGGAAGAACTGTAATGACAGATTTAGAAAGATACGATGCTGTTAGGCATTGTAGATATGTAGATGAAGTTGTCCGAGATGCACCTTGGGAACTTGATGATGAGTTTCTTAAGAAGCATAAGGTACAGTCATCAAAAAAATGATTTATATTTTAAAATCTATTAAATAAAATTTTACATTTAATACATTAAAAAGATTAAATATTGAATGATTATTATGTTACAGATTGACTTTGTGGCTCATGACGATATACCATATATGTCAGAAGATAGCTCAGACGTTTATGCTAAACTAAAAGCTAAAGGCATGTTTGTAGCAACACAGAGAACAGAAGGTGTTTCTACATCGGATATAGTTGCAAGAATAGTCAAAGATTATGACATATATGTTAGAAGAAATCTTGCGCGAGGTTACAGTGCAAAGGAACTTAATGTTTCTTTTCTTAATGTACGTCTCTATTTACTATTTAATAATAATATGTCCACATATTACATTCAAATTGTTAGCTGGAAAGAGATATCACAATTATATATATTGAAAAAAATATATAAACATAAATAAAGGGTATTTATAATGAATAAAGTATAATTACAATAAGAGAAATTTTACAGGAAAAAAAATTTCGCCTACAAAACAAATTTGATGATCTGAAAGATAAAGGAAAAAGAGTAATGGAAAATATTGGTGAGAAACGAATGGACATGATAAGTAAATGGGAAGAAAAATCTCGGGACTTTATCGATGCTTTTCTTTTGCTATTTGGAAGAGAAGGCAGATTGGTATGTATACATTTACAAATGTGTATGTATTGTATACAAATATACTAAAAATTTTCATTTATAGTCAACAATTTGGAATGAAAGTAAAGGTCGCTTAATGCAAGCATTATCTCCACCAGCAAGTCCGAAAAGAGATGGCAGTCCAAATAGCAGTAACAGCAGTAACAGTCACAATGATGAAGATCAGACAAGGTACAATTTTTAATATAGATTAGAAAGTTTACATATATATTTTTGATACTAAACTATATTTGTACATCTTATATTAGTCCACCACCAAACAAGACAGGACGCTATGAGTTTTCACATCAAAACAATCATTATTTAAGCGATGATTATAGTGATGATGAAGAGGAAAATTTACACTCCAAATGATAATTGATTACATTAAAGCAGCATTATGTATTCTTTTTGACCAAACTATCGTGCAATTTTTATTTATTACCTTGAAAATTTAGATGTATTTTCATACAATTGCATAAATTCCTAATGCAGAGTGTAATGATATGCTTGATGGATTTTGTATGACATGAGCTGGTATATATATTAAACATATTGCCTATTGTGATGTGAAAGTTTAATGTGATCTTGCAGATTTTATTATTTACATCATAATATATACATGATGGCTTAGTTAGCTGATACATATAGACTGTTTAAAGTAATATAATATTCAATGTCTTTTATTATTATTATTATGTTTCGGAGGCACTATTTCATCCAGTTCCTATATTCTTTAATGCAAATGCAATCATTATTTATATCTTTAATTTTATATTTTATTATAATTGTAAATCTTGATTGACATACAATGACTCTTAGTTATAAGCGTAATTTCTGATCTGATTATAAACATACCAGTCATTTTTCATCAAGCAAATTGATCTAAAAATTTATATTTTTATTAAAATCTAATATTTTATAATGTTTAAACTTTGTTTTCAACAAATTTTTAAAAAGATTTATATCTGTGAAGGCAGAGAATTTATTGGATAAATAAGATGCACAAATTTGTGTTTCAAAATAAAATTTCATATAATGATATATATATGTATATATATATCAATAATATACTTATAATCAGGAATCACTGTATATCAATATTTTAAAAAGTAAGAATAAATATTGATATTAATTGTATTTATATTGTAAAATATTGATTTATTTTAATTAAGATGCTATAGATTATTTCCATAATAAATTTGCTTATGTTTAGAAATTGTTAAAAAATAGCTTTGAATTGGATGAATAATCTTTTCCATACTTATGCATGTATTCAATTTTAATTTTAAAGAAAACAATTATAATATTTCAAATTACTATACTTTTACATTCATAAATTATAAAATTGTCATATTCCATGCTGTATAAGAAATAAACACAAACATTTAGAATTATATACTTATGTTGAAAAGAGAGATTTGTTTTAAATGAGACATATATTACATTTAATAAAAATTTATGAAATAAATTTCTTCTGTAATTATATATTATTTTAGTTTTTTATATGATAATTAAAATAAAGAAAAGCATTTAAGAAAATCTTTGATTGCATTGCAAATGTAATTAATCAAAGAGTAATATATATAATATATAATAATATATATTTCTTAATCAAGAGTCAAACAAATTATAAAATTGAAATTTTTAATTATGTCACTATAAAATATACTCTTCTTCTAAAGGAAAATAATTCATTAAATCAATGAGCTAATTAAATTAGTGAATGTTACTTGTATATGAAAGACATATGCCTATGATAGTTTTTCATGATATACTATAATACTGCCACAATTTTATATATGTAGCTTGCATTTAATATTTGTTGTGCGATCTCATTTCCAATCTCTAAAATATTTTATGAAAATTAATGCTTCTTTCTAATTTTTAGAAAAAAAGTACAATATATAATGTACAATTTAAAACAATGTATTACAGTCATTCTTACTTTTTAGATACATAAGTTAGAAAATTATTACAGATAATATAATTATAGATAGCTTCATATACAAAATTAATTTTGTAGTTTTAAAAATATATTTATAATATATTTGTAGTATGTTTTGTGTGTAAATTACACATATAATTTTATTCATATAATGTATAGATGCAAGAAAGTAAATATAATAAAGTTGAAATTTTTGAAGTTATAATATATATGCTTGAAGTTGTTTAGCATCTTTTCTTATCTGTCTTTAAAAAATATATATATTTCTTTTTTATTTGAAATTTTCACACAAGGAACGTTTATTATATTTATTATTTATATATAACTATACTTTCTCTAGATTTTTAGTCAAGATTTCTAGATATCTGAATACTTTGCTCCTTCATCTTGATATATGCATTATAGTGTATCTTTGTATGTGTAAATTTCCCTTCTTGGCTTATTTATGCTTCTTTTTTACTCATATCCTAGTTGTATAATAAAATTTGTTGAAGATTATAATTTTGATTGGGAAATGTTAACATGAAATTTACATATATTGAATCTATTTCTACAAATGTTTATCAACATCTTTAATCAGAAATTTGTTTTCACAATTTAAAAGTAAATATTTCAAACGTTTTTAAATTTTCAATCAATAAATTCCTTTCTCATATATACTTTCCGGCCTACCCTATATATTCCGTGGGAACTGCTCGCAACTTACCATGTCGAAAAGTTTCAAAGCCACAGTAGTGGGATGAACAAGAGATCGATAAAAAAAAGTGAAACAAATTATTAATTATTTCACTAAAAATAAAGATACCAATACATTTTCTAATCATTTGATGTTATTGACACTACTAAAAATGAGCGACAAGCGTCAAATAAAAACCTAAGGGCGCATTCCCACCTTGGCAGAAAAGCAGAAGCCAATCAGAGCTTGCTCTGTCTGCTCCTTGTTTTTCTACCAATAGAGAGGACCGAAGTCCTCGCTGATGTCACACGGCTTAAGTTACAATTAAACAAATTGACCAATCACGGTCGATTATTCAAGGATGTTGAAAAAGAAAAGAGAGAGAAGGTGGGAAGAAACTTAAGATGGCGTTACTGAGCAACTTATTTATCTCGCGCATGCGCACTCCATTTTGGCCAACCTCAAATCAAAAGAGTCGCGCTACTGTATATACCGTGCCTCCGCGACGACGGGACAGACGGGAGCGTCGTTACGCGTCGAAGACGGAACACGCTCGGGAAGAGTGGAAAGGGGGTGAAAGGGGGACGGACCAATGTTGTAACGTACGTGCCAAAATGGAAGAGCCAAGCATTCACAGTATCGGCGATATAAATAGTGCGGAGACAACGAAAAGTAAGTGCGAAACTGTCAACGTGAGATCATTCTCGATATCGTTCTTAGGACGGAGAATCGTCCTGTCTCGCTACGCGATCTCCTACGCGGTCGCCACGCGACGATAAGACCTGCGATGCCCTTATATTGTTTTGAATTTATCTTGAGGACCGTTGCATATTTACGGTAAAAGTAGATACGTATTTGCCGAGGGAATTAAATCCTCGGTAATTTCTCTTTCTTTTCTAATTCTTCTCTGCACGAACACCATCTTATTTCTCGAGGTTCAAGGTTCCTCTCGATTTTCGCGATCTTATCCAAACTTCACTCGCTACGCTACCTATTCAACATGACGACATCCTTCGATCTATTTTTTTTGTGGATCATGCGTCAGAAACGCCAAAAAGTCAAAAAGAAAAAAAAAAAGATAAATGTGTCCGTCTCAATTCTTCTCGTAAACTTGGTCTTGATATCTTCAAAACGGTATCAAAAACAAACGGTTTCTTTGCGGCAATATTCGTGGAAAACTCCCTGAAAATGACAATGTTTTCGCAGTAATTCATTCGTAATCGCTTGCAATGTTCGTTTATGACTATGTTCGCTTTCCTTTTCTCTTTCCTCTTTTGTGTCTCTTTCTCTCTCTCTCTCTCTCGCTTTTCGCAAGTTAATTATCTTACGCCGAGCACGTGAATCGCGTGTATCAGATGTATACATATACATACATACGACTTCCCGTTGTCTATGATAGAGTTGATGAGAGATAGAGCCTACTTTGTATCAACGTTTAAATTTTACGTAGCAATATTTAAATGGAAAAATAATCTACTGACAAATCTTCCTATTAGAAAGAAAATTGTTATATAATTATTATTATACTATTATAATATCACACATATAGACAATGAGATATATACATATACTATTAAATACATAATAATTATAATAAAATAATTGTATATATGTAAATATATACACACACACACACACAATATTAATTATATTTATGAAGGAATCACACATTCAGTACGTTTTATTCGAATTATTTTTTTTTTAATTTTTTGCAAACAATGTGACTATATATATATATATGTATGTATGTATGTATGATGTATGTATGTATGTATGTGTGTATACATACACACACATATTTTGATATACATATATGTTAACTAAAAGTTTTTTGTTTTGCGGGGGCGATAAAATAATTGAAAATAATAATCGAAACCAATTCAGGTAATGTCGAAAATTGTTTTTGGGATCAGGCATTTGGGACCAAAATCCTGAAATTTTCTTGTCACATAAAAATGTTTAGTTGTTTATAATTTCAAATACATTTTTTTTTATATTAGAGCAATTTATTGTTCAAGTTTGTGTCAACCTCAATCATTAGCATATGCTTGCTGTTTTATCAAATAACTTTTCATATTTTATGATTATCCAATATGTATATTTATGACAACAAAGAAATTAATAATAACTGTAACTTTTTGTATCCAATGTTTTAAAAAATTTTACAATATTTATTGTACATATATTACTTTAGCTTAAAATAAATATTGGATCAATAAGATAAAAGATAAGATAAACAAAGTAAAAGAAGGCTTTTTGATAGATTACTTAAAATAGTTTATCTCTCTCAATAAAAACAAAAAAAGAGTTTTAATTGAAGCCTAAATATAAATCTAGGTTACTAGAATTTTATAATTAAAATCTGACAAAAACTGATTTATGTCTTGAAAATTTATTATCATTATTTAAAAATTTTGTTTGCATAATATATGACTGATAAACCATTTTGAAACTTTTATATTTTTTATATACTCTTTATATTTAAAAAAATGAAATTGTAGAATATATGATAAGAATAAATCTTTTCTCTTATCAAAAATATATTCTATAATATAATTAAATATTGATACTTATGACAATAATTGCATTAATTATAACATAATGATAAAAGAGAGATTAACAAGGACATTTTTGTTTATCAGACTATATAATACCACGTAAGAAGAGAATATGTTTAGTTGGTGCAGCTTGCAATGATCCTGCACTTAATGCTGCTGCTCAGCAGTTTAAAGTCCCTGTATTTAAATCTGAAACTGGCACAGAATATATTGAAGATACCACCTATCATACTTACTTCGTACTCAAACAATTCGAAGGATCTGAATATTATACTTTGTGCAAATCTCCTCATAGGTTAGTAAATATAATAATATTGTATTTTTATGATAAGATATTTATATAAGACATGTATCATATTTATAATTTATATTATTTTTATAATATTTTAATCTAGAAAGAGAAATTTCTGAATCTTATTTGTTTTTTTTTTTTTTCTTTTTTAGAATACTGGGATCTACAGCTTTGTTACAACTGGCAGAGAAAAAAGAATCTTTGCCTAGTATTAAGAGACCATTGTTCACACAAGCTATGATAGGTAAAGTAGTGGTGTTTAGCGGCTTTCGAGCTAAGGAGGATGAACTGGTCAGTGGACTATTTATACAATTTTCATGATATTACTACTCCTGATTGATATATGCGTATCTTATATTCTTATGATATAATATTTTTTAACAGCGCAAGTTAGCTAATATGGTTCTTCTGATGGGCGGTAGCATTCGAAAAGAGATGGGTACTAAAGTGACGCATCTTATTGCAAACCATTGCAGCGGAGAGAAGTATAGATACGCTGATATATTTGAAGTACCTATTATGTCAGCAGAATGGTTAACAGCATTATGGAATGCCAAAGACGATGTCTCTAGTTATGCAGATAGTGAGGAATTAGTAAGTATGCTTTCTAGATGCTAAAAAACAATTTCGCAATATAGCTTTATATATTAGTTCAATACTATTTAAAAAATCATTATATTATAAATTATTAATTACTATATAAAAAAACATATATTAAAAAATCATTGAATAAAAAATATATTTCTTTATAATATTAACTTATGTAGAGTAATATTTATAATTATTATTTCATACTTAAACAGAAGTCTACTATAACAATATATGATTTAATGTATGGAATAAAAATAAAAATTAAATTTTTGTCGTACAATTTTTTTAAAAACACATATGATTTTGACAGATGGCAACTTATAAATTGAAACCATTTTATGGAGCAAAAGTATGTTTCTTTGGTTTTCACGAAGAAGAAAAAAAACATATGTGTGAAATTTTGGAGCAACAAGGTGGTGAATCTACTGAAATTAATGATCCAAATTGTACTCATGTCGTAAGTTAATAATTTTAATAGTATTTCACATTCTTTTATAAATATAAGTACTTGATTATATTATTACTTAATTAATATTTATTCACTATGCAATTCACTATAAATATACTCTAGGTGATAGATGTACCTGGCTCTTACTACAAGAAATCTAATGCAAAATTATATCTTAAAAATTCATCCAATCAGAATCCACTTTCCTTAATGTATTTTAAATCAATTTCTTCTTCTCTTTATAATCCTAATTTAAATACGATTTCTAATATAATGAAAACTAGTAATTGTGATAACAGTAACATATCAGTCAACATTGATGATACAAATTCTATAAAAACTCAGGATAGTGGTTATTCCTCATCAAAGAATATTTCATCTATTGTACATACGCATGATGTAAAATGCAATATATGGAACGATATTGTTTCTAGTAACATCAGTCAAGATTCTGCTATTAGTATGAGTGATCATTGTTCTGAAGAAAATATTAAATCTGGCAATATATTTCATCTCTTTGAGTTAAATGATTCTGATGTAGACATAACAAAATCATCTAATTTCTCTACATTTTCTATGTCGAATAAATGTTCTATTCCAGCAACATCAACAATGATAAGCAACAAAAACATTAAATTCAATATTTCTGAAGATTCTTTACTTAATGACGAACATTCTCTATGTGAAAACGTATCAAATCTTGCAGCAAATTCAAATGATTTAAAAATGTCTACATCTTATGAAAAGAATAATGAACACATAGTTTGTACATCACCAACAAATAATAATGCACTATCTTTAAAATATCATAAGAATATTCATTACATACGAAATAATACTTCAAAAGCTAAAATAACTCCCAAACGATATATAAAATGGAGAAAAACTAATTCTTGCACATCTGTTCATAAAATGACAACACATGAAAAATATAAATTTGTGAAAACAAACTCGTACCCAAATATATTAAAATATGGCCAGGAACAATATAACGATACATTTTTATATAAATTAGATGAGAGAAAGCATTTGTCTAAATCACACACATCAATTTTTTCGAAAATAAGTCATTTCAATTTCTGTCCAACATTTTTTGATAATGAACAAGACACTTTGACTAATTCTCATTATTCTCCTCCTGAAAAAAACCTCTTTAAAAAAAAATATACATCCTTGTCCAAATCTCTTCCAATATCTACAAAGATTTCAAACACTAAACATAACTCAAGAAACACTTATAATTTTAATGGAAAAAGTTGCGGTGTACAGTCTACATCACATGACATAAAAACAAAATGCACAGATTTCAAGACTCAGAAGGATAAAGCATTCGTGGTATTCAATTAAAATTTTTCTTTTGTTTTTTTTTTGTATTTTGTTTGTTGAAGTAAGGTGTAATAGTCCTTTAATTTATTTTTTATTTTACTTTAATAACATATAACAATGTATTATATGTTATATAATACTATAATTGTATAGAATATTAAGAAATAAATTTCAAGATTTAACATGTATTCATTAACCTGGGTAAAAATACTGATTAATATAAATTCAAATTCTTATCAAAGTTAGGAAAAAATGTTTTAGTTTTGGTTATATAATTTTTATTTTCATTTATGTAGTTTGTGGGATATTTTGATTTGTTACTTAGAAATTATTTGTGTATGTGAGATATTAATATTTGTAAATATAATAGGAATATTTAAGGTACTTGAGGATGATAAACTGCGATATTCAACCTCTCTTAAAAATTTGCTATTATACACTATGAATTAAGTCAGTGTTATATGTTTAACTTTGTCCGTTGTCCATTGTCCATTGTTCATTTCTATAATGAGGATTATAAGAATAATGTAATAAGTAAAATATTAAATAAAATATTAAAGTTGTTTTTATTATAGGTAGTAGATGAAGCCAATGTAAATGTACTACCAAATCTGGCTTCAGTGTCAGCTTTCATAGTCAAAACTGGATGGTTTTGGGTATCTGTACAGAATGAGGCAGCAGCAGATGAGAAAGAATATTTATTTGAACATGTAAGTGCTGATGATAATATAATAATAATAATAGTAATAGTAATAATAATAATAATTTTTGTTCTAATAATTTTATTATTGTTGTTTAGTATCTAGAAACAGCTTTATCGCCTACTGCATCTAATAGGAGAAACAGTCAACAGATAGTGGCATCAAATATAACATTATCAAAGCATCCGTGTTGGTTGGGTGGCCCATTAGCTAATATATTACAAAATGGAGCGGACTCACCAGCTAGTGTCAGTGGAAGTTTTCTCGACTGCACGGCGAGTCCAGATAAACAGTTGTTGGATGGTATATATTTGAATGATAATACTTTATACTTTAATATGTGTATAAGCTTCTCTTAATTAAATATCTTTTAATATAAAATGAAAAAAATTTAATATCAGATTGTTAAAATTGCTATTTAGAGAAAATATAACTTAATATAAACTCTTTAAACTCTAATAAAGTAAACTATGTAAAAGAGAATTATATCGATTATTATTCATTATTAATTATTAGGTATTCCAGAGGTAGAAACTGTCGATACAGAAAATTTACCAAATGTTAGAGAAAATTTATCAAAGCGTCATCAAGTATTTCTTGAATTAGTAGAGACCGAAGCCAATTATGTTGGTATTCTCAATACAATTATGATGGTAAATACTTGTTATGCATTAAATCAGAAAAATAAATTAATTCATACTTCAGCTGTTTTTAACAATTTGTATTTGTATATTTTACAGCTATTCAAATTACCATTGGAAAATCTTGTAGGGAAAAGTGGAAAAGAATTATTAAATAGCACAGAAGTAAAAATTATATTTGGTAATTTCCCACCCATTTATGACGTTCATAAGCAGTTATTGGAAGCCCTACGTTGCAGTGCCACTAATTGGACAGAAGATATTAGTATTGGCAAAATATTTTTGAAATATGAACTAGATTTGGTTAAAGCATATCCTCCATATGTCAACTTCTTTGAAAACACAAAACAGATGTTGGAAGAATGCGATCAAAACAAACCACGATTTCATGCTTTTTTGAAAAATTGTCAGACAATACCAGAATGTGGTAGACAAAGCTTAAAAGAGCTGTTAATTAAACCAATACAAAGATTACCCAGTATTAATCTATTATTAAGTGGTAAAATTATTTTTAAATAATGATTTTTTAATTTTTTTTTTTATAATTTAAACAAAATTCCTTAGATATCATCAAAATGTTATTATTTTTCACAGATATTCTTAAACATACTGACAAAAGTAATCCAGACTATAGTGCTCTAGAAGCTTCCATTAATTGTATTAAGAAAGTTATGACATATATAAACGAAGATAAAAGGAAAACAGAACGCCAGTTAGCAATGTTTGATATTTTCAATGAAATTGATAATTGTCCGCCGCATTTAGTTTCTTCACATAGATCATTTATCAATAAGTGTGATGTAATGGAAGTTACAGAAGGTCTTAGCGGACGGGGCGATCATTTAGTATTGTTTCTATTTACTGATACTCTTGAAATATGTAAGAAAAGATCAAAGGCTTTTAATTCATTAAAAAGTCCTAACACTATAAATGGTTTGCAATCGAGTAAATTAAATCAAGGAAAACTATATAAGCATATCAAAATGTTATCACTCAGCACTATACGAAAAGTTGTAGACATACGAGAAACTGAAGGTAAAAATAAATATTTTATACATATACACACACACATCTACATACATATAAGGGACACGTATAAGAGATTATACATCTATTATGATTTTTTTTAGGATATCACAAACTATTTGCACTCGTAGTACGTGGCACTCAGGAATTAAAGGAAAAATTCTTTTCGTTTATAATTACTGACGAAGAAATAAATAAAACAAATTATTTACAGATTTTATGTAGACAAATGGCTCTTGCTGTCCGTGTAGCTGATGCTGTACGTATATCATATTTGTAACATATTTAATATAAGTGATATAAATCTAAAAAAAAGAATTATATAATATATAATATTATATATATAATCTTATATAATATATAATACACGCGCGCGCGCGCATGTGTGTGTGTGTGTATGTGTGTAAAATCTTCGTTTGTTTAATCTATTTTTTGTTTTACTCAAAAGGTTTTGTATTTTTCAGGATACATTACTTATTAGATACGATTCGCATCAACTCGAAGTCGGTACTGGTGATGTAGCATCAGGAACATTAAAAAAAACAATTAAGTAAGTATATCTATATTTTAATATACTATATAATGTATTTTAATATTATTTACAAGTAATGTTCCTTCTATTCTATATCTATATCTAATAAACATAAGTGATTTTGCAGCGCGCGATTATTTTGCTGTAATGATATTGAATCAACAAAGTTTGATATGTATAAAAAAAGTTTATAAGTAACTTTACAAAAAAAATAATGTAATCTATTTTCTTGACGGCATAACAGTCGCGCAAGCATATCAGACATACGTAATTGTATGTACACGAGTGGTGCACACGAGCGGTGAATCATAGGTGCGATTTAGATTGTTAGAAGAATTTTACTATTCAAAATTAATCAGAATGAACAATCGTGTGTAAATAAAGACACTTAAAATATAAAATTAAAATATTTTTTTTATGCATTATTTTTTTAATTATTTTTACATGTATAAAAAATGATCATTATGAAAAGAATATATGTGAAATATATCTTGTACTATTTTTTGTATATACTATAATGGTTCATTCAATTTATATATTTTGATGTTTCGTTTAAATTTAAAAAAATATTTATTTGAAAATCTTAGTTCTATTTAATTCTAATCTAAAATATATTTTATTTCAAATACAATACTCAATTATTGATTTTAAATAAGTAATAAAATAAATATGACATTTATATAATAAAAAATATATTTTACATTATATTAGTAAATTATGTAATAATAATTTATTAAATATTCAAAATTCAACAAGAAAAAGTTATATAATTTATTAATATAATGTAATTTATTAATATAATCTGCATTACGATTTAATAGTATTTACTTTTGGAATTATGTTTAGTTTGAAGAAAAGTGTCAGAAGTTGTCTACAAAAGTTATCTGGAAAGATATTTATTTAAAAAACATGGAATAAAAGAAAATAATTAAACAAGAGGACATTTACTTAAAACATAAAATCAATGTGGTGAAACAATCGCGTGAGAAAAAAATTCGCTCGTGTGTGCTAAAATTTACACCTGTAAATATCGAATTAGCAAATATTTATTCTATATTATATATATAAAACTTTGTCTTTTATGAAAAAATGTTTGTTAGATGTCATAAAAGGTATGACGACTGATATCTCTCTTTTTATCTCTCAATTTGTAATTAGATGATTTATTAGATTACATAAGTAGAAAAGTTTTGTATCTATAATCTATAAATAAATCTATAAATATCATATTTATAGATTTTGTATCTATAAATATCTATAAATATTAATTTGTTCAAATATAAATTTTTAAATCTTTTGTTTAAGGAATATTTTGAATGAAAAGATGATTATGACAAGTTATTGCATTTATTTTTATTTAATATAGTAAATAAAAACTCAACACCTCAACAGCTTAAAATCAAGTAAGCAACAAGTAGTATAGTAAATCTTTCGCAATATTTTTCATCATTCATTACAGTATTCATTACAGTATTTTTGGTTGAAATAGATTTAATTTATAATTACAAATTTTTATTATAATTAAGAAATTTGAGCTAACATTATAATTGACATTATTGATTGGGAAATTTAAATTTATTAATATAAATTACATCATATTAATAAATTGTATAACTTTTTCTTGTTAAATTTTGAATATATATTACAAAACTTAACAAGAAAAAATTATGTATTGTATAATTTTTTTAAATTATTTAAAATTTTTTTAAATTATATATTATATAATTTGTTAATATGATGCAATATTTATATTATATTTATTTTATATTTGGACAATTTTAATATTATATAAATGATAATGGCGTATATATTTCTACCGTGATCGAAAGATTACTGTACATATTCTCTACTATATTGCATGATATAAAAAAAAATAATGGGACAACCCGTTTGGTTGCAGGAGCCTATTTCATAATTTTTACCTGGAGTATATGGACCCGTATGTGTTCCTACTCAATAGCATGTGTGAAACCACGTTACATGTCCCACTACCGTCAGTTTTCGCACCAGGCTGATTATATTTTTTTACTTGCTTTTTATCCTTTTACCCTCTATTCAATGGCATAACTATTAAAGACGAAGAAACGATATTTAAAGCTCTTAGTTCCCTGCAGCTATATTAATAAATGACATGTGACATCAGAAGATCCATATCTTTTTTACTAATTTATATTATCGAACGCGAGTGATACAAAAAAAATTAATTTATTTTAATATATAATACAAGAAAAAATGTATAATATCTTACTTTTGATGTCATAATTCAATACGACTGCATGAAGGATTAAGCGCTTTTAAAAGCTCGCAATATTAACAAATTTAAAGGGAATTTAAGAAGTAAAGTTTGAATATATAAAAGTTCAAAAATGTATGTATTCTTATTTTTTATTTTGCAAATGAAAATATTAAAATATTAAATTAAAAGAGAATTTAAAAAGTAAAGTTTGAATATATAAAAGTTTCAAAATGTACATATTTTTATTTTTGATTTTGCAAATGAAAAAGATCGGTTTTCTATTATTTTGTAAAGATTTGTAGTTACGCCTTTGAAAACTTTTGCTCTTAAAATTGTTTTGTGCTGTGAATAGATATAATTATTTAATAATAATTTTAGTTTTAGTCAATTCAAGCATAATATAATATTGTAAGCTTTTTATTTATTAAAAGCCTTCTATTATATTTCTTACTTTAGTAACTAAAGAAGAATTAAGTTGGGAAAAAATATGTATAATAATATTCATATTATATACATAATTTATTATACATATGCAATTCCTCAATTTATATTATTCTAATTTCTCATAATTGACAAATAATGATTTAATTTGTAAGTTGATTGATTAATTTTATTTTTTGTCTATAACATACCACGTACAAGAAGGTTTTATTTTATTATAAAGTAGAAGGGAGAAAGAATAAATATAAATATATATATATATATATATATATATATATATATAATTTTCTTTATTAATAAATATGTTATTTCTTTTAATGTGCAGCCATGGTGCAGTTTTCGTTATCTCTAATTACCGCATGGATGATTAGATGTGTTTATATTGTTAAAATTTTGCATGTATATTTCATATTCTCTATATCACAATAGGTGATATTCTAACTGCTCAAGCTGGTTTTCTGGATATTATAATACATTTTTTGTAAATTTGCACAGGTTGCATAGGTTCCTCTTTGTCTATTTATAAAATTTTTTTTCCTTCTAAAAAATAATTATGATTACATATGTTATTTTAATTAAAAAAATATAATTTTTTATACAGATACACGCACCCATAAAATTACTAATTCGAAAGGAGGAAAGAAAATTTTTTAATGTTACAAACACACATTTAGATATAATACAGATGCATTAAAAACTTTTCAAAGCGTATTTTCCTTCAGGTTTGCATCTCGTACAAGAGCGCGAGTTGGCCGAGCGTTTAGTTTCAATAAAACACCAAGCAAATTAAATAGAGCGATGTCCACAATTATGTCGCCATTTGGATCAACACAGAGTCTTCCTCCGACAAACCAACAAATGGCTCAGATGCGGCTAGGTAGCTGCAACAATATCAGCGTTAGTTGATAATTTTTTGGCATGTATTTTTTTCCTTGTGCTTATTTCTTTTTTTTCTTTTTCTGCTTGCTTATCTTTCTTTTATAATGGAAAGTTGTAATTTTTTTCACTAATTTTTTTATACTAACGTATTTTACAAGCTTTTATTAAGCAAGCTGTGAAAAAAGTTAAATTTAGTTCATACGTATATAATCTATTCTACAATGTCTTTCCTTCTATATGTATTTATTTCCTATTAACTCCGCTTAAACTTTTGTTAAAATTTGGAAAAATTAACTTTCTTTATAAAATTATATTTTTATTTAGATACTTTAAATTTGTATGCTATTTGCATAATATTTTTATACCGTCATGCAATTATTACATATTAATTTATATATCAAATATTACAATTTTCATATTAATTTCATTTTTCATTTATTCTATTAGGATGATATTTTATATATCATTTGTAAGTTATATTGAATTTTTTTATTTTGTACTACTTATATTACTATCTTATGCTACTATTTTTCATTTCCAATACCTATATGCAATATATTTATTTTTATTATTACATTATTTTCATGTAAAAGAAAAAATATATTAATAATTTTAATAAACTTTCATGCTTTAACTCAAAATCAATGGATGAACTATAATAGGAATCATGTAAGTACATTGTAAAATGAATATATTGGAGAAAGAACAAAATCAGTTTTATATATTTATTTCTTAGTAAATAATTGAAAATTATATATTTTGTTTATTAATTTTCAAATATTTATTTTTCTTTTTATTTATGATTAAAAAATTATTATCAAGAGTAAAATATTTATTTAATTTCGCAAGATAATAAAATATAAAGAGAAAAACTAAAATTAAAATTATATTTATATTTTCATTAAAAAAATAAAAACGAAAAACACGTCATTAATAAATATATTGCAATTATATTCTAATATGGGATCGGTTTTTATTTTTTTTTTTTTCATCTATAACAATATTTCTATTTCAGTTTAAAGGAAATGGAAGACTGAATAAATGAAAAAATTAAATTTTAAGTTTTATATATTTTCAGGAGTTGGATAATGGTGGTTCAAGTTCTCCAAATAAAGATGATGTTCTAGTAGCACCAATGTCGGATCAACCGACTCGAAAAGCTCTCAGTATGGCTTCACTGCGAAGGTTGTAATTAGTATGCATAAGAAATCGTACTTTCTTTTGCTACAAAATACATTTCTAGTATTCTAAATAAAGAGACGTGCATTTTTAACAAACCACTGTGGTATGTTAAACCAATATAGATCGTCGTATTGATACTATACAACTAACAAAAAGAGCCTGAAAACCATAATATTTATATACATACAGTGTTCTGTTCAAAATAATTACAATTATTTAATTTTTATAGCAAAGTTTAGTACGATTTCCTGAATAATGCTTTATCCCCGAATACATCATATGAAAATGATATTATTGTTATTAGTGCCAATAATGCCTAGTTATTATTGTTATATTACTATAATTAATATCTTTATTTATTTTATGTATTATTTTGTAATTATTGTATATGCCCCTTTTCTTCCGCACTTACTTGCCGATAAGATAACGGACTATCACCTTTTATATAAATATAGTTCGCTTTTTACCGAGCCAGTTTAATTATTCTAAGAGATATATCGTCAAATTACACTGATTCGGGGATATTTATTTACGAATTTCCCAACAAATTTTATTATTCTAATGACAAACAGAGTCAAACTTATCAATAGACTGCAGATATGTGCAACAATTTCATAATAAAAATATCAATAGTTCATAAAAAATAGCATTAAATAATCGTCTCGTTAATGAACATATCTCGTTGTACTCACGCAGTTTTGATGCAAAAATTTGAAAGTATTTCGTTTAATAATGGATTAGACAAATATGTTAACATTTAATCATAGCATAAAATACAAATTTCGTATCTAACTAATAAAAATAATAATACTTGCTTCTCTTTTATGTATTTCAGGCATCAAAAAATCTTGTGCAATTTCAATATTTCACTCATTTTTTAATTTCCGTTTTTCTATTTATTAGAATTTGTTTAGCGGGAGTCATACAAAGGAGATCTGATCATTGAACTATAAAAATTTAATGCGCGATTTCATTTTACATCTATTGTTTATCGCGAATATTCGATAATATAGGCTTTTTTTTAAATTTCTAAATCTTATATTTAGAAACTTCTAAATCTTATCTAGATTTTTCAAAGAAAATTAAATTTAAAACAATGTACAAGATGTACTCATAAGATATTCAAAAGTTCGAAATGAAAAAAAAAACATTATTCTAAGTAATCCAATATTCTCCATTCTAATGTGCCAATATAGTAATGTATACCTAATAATAAAAATGTATATCGCCTACTGTTATGAATTTAATAGGCTTGCTCAGGATAATATTGTATTCAATATGACTTATACGATTTAAATTTTTGGAATTTACAGAAATGATTTATATAAAATCTTATCGTTCTCTAAGAGAACAGTGAAAACTTAAAATTCGATAATTTGATAACGCTTAAAAATGAGGATAGATTTCATATTTCATGAAATTCATATCTCTTAAATATTTGTATGGTTTTATACCTTTATACGAGTCTGCACGATTCACACTTCATATAAGGAAACAAACAATTGCCAATGTTAAAAATATTGAAATTAAGGAAACGAAGTAAATGATTTTTTCGAATAGTTAATTACATAATAATATGATATAAATAACATGATATGAAAAAGATAATATAAATTAATTATAAAATTAATAACATTTTTTAAATAAACAATCTACATGTGCTTCAGTTCGTTGTATACTCCAAATAATCATTTATTTTCATTATAAGTCAATCATTTGGATATAAATTTTTTCTATTCTTTTATTCATCAAAATTTTGCATAAATTCTTACATAATTTATACACATTACATTTTGTGCTGCCGATAATGTGCTTTCTTCACAGCTTTTATTCATTTTGATGCTGTGCTTGTGACATTTATCTAATTGTACATGCTAACTTTAAAAATGTTATTAATTATCGATTCAGTCATTCAAATAATTAGAAAATATCGCAAATAAAATTGTTACTTATATATGAAGGATAATTATGATATGTAATAGATATATCATAGCCAAAATTATCACGATTGATAAGTTCCTTTTTAATACAAATTGAATATATGATAAATTCAAAGATTACAATCGTACATTACTGTAATCCTTACAGCTTTCACAGTATTGTAAACGAATATTTCATTTCTGAAATGTTTTTTTTTTTTCGTATTTTTTCGTTATAAATCGATTTTGTGCAACAAAAATTATTACCATTGCAAAGCTAGCGTTAATATTACAACCTTTTGCTATCATATAACTTTGTTCGTAAACTTTCATATGAATAATGTATGCATAAGATCTATTGTTTTACGAATTCATATACACACATATTCGCTATCATGTTGTAATATTCTTGAATGTCTTTATTTTGCTTTGGTTGTATATTCTTATGTTCCTTTCATACTTTAGCATTTTTTTGATAGTCCGTTATTCGAAGACCAACTAAAGTTTATTTTTGAGCCGTTAGCACAAAATTGAAAAAAAATATAAATATTTAGTTTAGCTATAGAATAATTGACTATTATAAGTGCACTTATTGTTAGCGGAATATCTTACAGGCATAAAATGTGATTTCTATTTTTCTGCAATCTCTCGTTTTTATTCAATCAATATATTTTATGTCTTTTATGTCTCCTTTATTTCCTTAAAATGACACAGCTTTTCTAAATTAATTCAATAAATTTCTAAGGAAATCTAATATTTTATAGCTGACAGTTAATATTTTATAAGTATCATAAGTATAATAAAACCTTATCATAAGTATAATAAAAAATCGTACAATAATATCAATATAATATCTTAATATTTTTGAACTAATATATATTGATTGATTAAAAAAGAGTATAAAAGAATGCAAAAAAAAACATGAAAGAATTTCGGTGATGTTACTCTTGTAAGAGTTTATACAAACATCAATACAATTTTCGACAACCGACTATGTTCTCTTCTCATGATAAAAATGATTAGTGCCTTGATTATGATAAAGTACGAATAAAAAAATTTGTATTACATAATAAAATGTACTGCATATATATGCATGATTTAAAAGAGATAAATTGGTTACTTATTTTTCTCTTGATTTATCAAGAACTTTGATGAAATACTTTATAGCCTCATAATATACAATTTGTGTTAAATATTATTAAGTTTTGACTGCACTGACTGCTACATTTTATTTCAAACCAGTGACAATGGTACTTTATCTTCTTTTGTAACGTATCGTAAACAACAAAAAGTGCTTTTGCGAATGCCATTCACACATATTCGAAATTATCTATTTATAATATTATTATTATTATAAGCTATTATATATAAAAACGAAATAGTAATATGAATCGTGAGAAATAATAGAGAACGAGAAAGAAAGAGAATTTTTACATATTAATTTCCGTGTAATAATTTGGCATTAAATTTTGCATTAAATATTTACACAATTGCTGTAATTTTTCAAAATGAGAATATGATTTATATTACTGTTCCGTCGACTCGAATTATCCTATAACAATCGGACGTCAATCTCGAGTCAACTTCGTGAATCAGAAAATTTTGAGTGTTTATTTGGACACTTGTTTTCTTGTGCGTAGATTTATTTCTTACTTAAAAAAAATATTAATTGGCAGGCCAATCGCATCATATTGATTATCGCGCTTCACGTTTGATTGTAATTAATTCTCAAATTTTACTCCTTTTTTTTTGAAAAAATATTTGACGAAAGTGTGAAGTATGAGAGAGAAAAGAGAGAATGAATCGTATAGTGATAAACGAAACAAGTGTCCTTGAATTAAATGCATTGTAAATAATATGATTAAGTACCTCAGAAATTAATGTATTGTACTAATGTAGAAAACACATTTTTTTTACTATACATGTAAGATTATCGTATTATCGTCGTATAGTTCTCGCGCAGTTATTTATATGGTATTATAATTCAATGTAAAAATTTATCCTTTATTATGCAAACTTAAGATATGTTGTTTATTCGTAGAGAATCCTTGTTCCTTCATTTATCTAGCTTAATTTTCCGAATTCTTTTAGATATATAGATAATAGTGATTAATATCTAATTTTCTGTCGTTGCATTAGAAGTTTAATTTCAAAAAAATGTCAATTTTATTAACTGCAAAAATATATTTCTATCATGAGATGCGCAATTTTTTTCTATGATCAATAGTGGTCCTTTTTCTATAATCGATAATGGTCCATCTTTATGATGCAATAAATTGGGAAAATCAATTAGAATGTAGATTTAAAATAATTTTAACGCCACTTAAGAACTATTATCTTAATATCATTTAAAAAGATAAAATTCACCAGTTTTTACAATAAAGATTGTATATGAATATTTAAAGTATATTAATTTGTTTGTCGCAATATAGGATATTTAATATAGGATATTTTCACACAAAAAAAAACTGTTCTTTGTTCGCATCTCCTTTTCTTACATTTTTAAACGCGGACGTTTGCCAGAAACGCATGCACGGCTTACATACCGGAAATAGACGCCGAATAGACTCTACTCTGTGCCAAGAAAGATATCTATTCTTTCAAAAATTACGAAATTGACTATGCATGAGATTTCTAAGTGTACTTTTATATATGAGATCATTTGAAAAATAATTTTTTCTTGTAATTACAAATTATTTAACAGATTTCCTTCTCTGCATTCTATAGCGAAATGTTTAAAATTCCTTATGTATATTGCATAAATATTAACGCGCAATATTATCGCATATAATAATTATTTATTAGCATTGCATTATTAATGTTTCTCTTTATTGTACTTTCATTAACTAGCTATTTGAATTACAGTATCATGTAAGTAATATTCATGAATTGTCAATATGCCGCATATTGAAATATTAATTAATTAAATGAAATTTTTAAGATTTATATAATAGGATAATGTCTTTTATATCTTAAAAATTCATGAAATTAAATTCTTCCTCGATATTTTTTATCGAAAATAAAAATACGTAAAATTATTAATAGGGAAGAGAAGGAAAGCGTATAAGAAAGCAAATGCTTTAAAAAATGTTTTACATATATATTTAGATGATATATATATATATATATATATATATATATATATATATATATATGTATGTATGTATATTTGTTATATGAGCTTTAAAATTTTACTGTCAGCAATTAATTCTTTACCAATTAATTAATTCGTTACTATCAATTATCTATATCTTAATAATTGAAACTTATGAAAGCACAATGACAATGTTATGGCTAAAGTGAAATATAAAACCGGTCTATGTAGCTCTAGTTATGTCCGAACAAGTGTGGAAATAAATTTGGCTACTATCAAAAAGTTGAATTCGAATAACATATTTGATTTAACAAAAGCAATCAAAATCAGTAGCACAATATCTTTTTCGCAAAAATAAACTAGAAAACAGCATACTCTGTAGCAGTGATGTATACGTTTTTATTTCCCAATACATATTATAATTCGACATCGTAGAATCAGTATCATTCTCTTTCGCTTTTCATACAGTATCCATTTCTCGGATAATCTTAACTTTTGAATATAAGCATTAAAAGAATTTATATCACAAAATCATATAAAAAATTATTTTATATTTTATATTATACATTTTATATAAAAATTATATATAAAATAAAAAAAGATTTACTTTGATAGAATGATAAATTCTTAAGAATTTCTAAGAAAACTAGATTTTCGAAAAAAAATTTGTTGTAAGAAAACAAAATTATATAAATCAATATTTAATAATGTAAATTTTATAAATATATAAATAGATACATAATTATAAAAATATATAAATCATAATTATATAAATAGTTACATAATTATTTCTGCTCTTTTAGGTATAAATCCAACTTCTATCGTATTCTCGTCTTGAACTGCGTTCTGAAAATTGCCGTATGCTATGTCGAAAGGAACTTAATAGATTTCTAAAATACAAAGTTTTAAATTGAGGTTTGCGCGAGCGATCTCGCTAAATAATTATTAAATAATAAACTCTCATAATTCCATAGAGAAACTTGGTTTAAAACTTTACAGAAAATTTCAGGAATCTATGAAATTACTTCCATAAAGTATGCATATTATTTCCTTATTAATTTATCGCATTTGTTTATTCAACGATATAAAAAATTCCTCATTAACGCAATTTCTCGTTAACGCATATTAAATCCAGATACAAAATTGCATATATATCTCGGCTTTCGGACAGTTTGCTCTTGTTAAACAGCAGTACATATCATCGCTAATTTTTCTGGACTATTTTTAGCCGGCGCATACCTACCAACATTTCTCGACGGTTCGCTACCTCTTAATTAAACATCTTTGTGATGTAAGGTAAATTCGCAAAATTCTCAGGAATAACCGAGCGCCTGATTAAAAAATATCTCGGCTGCGGGAGCAAACACAACGATCACCGCATATCATCTCGCTCTTCTTTTTCCTCTCCTTTCGACATAGAACAAAAATGCATTACGTAGCGAAATGTACGACTTATTGTTAACATTTTTTTTTTCAGCGCTCTGGGAAGGCAGAATGCGTTTTATTACGAACCGCTATTCGCATGTGCGTAGACAAATATGCAACGATGCGAATTTACGAGCGTATAAATAACTCGTGCCTATCATGCACGCTGATCATGCATTCCACTGCGTCAACTTGGAATATATCATATGCGTGCGTTTTTTTTCCAGCTGCGTTCACCTACCTGTAAAACAACCACTTATATTAGAACAATATTATGACAAAGTTATGAGAAGGCGTAATATTCAGATTTTTGATATGCTCTTATAGATGCTTCATGAGAGAAAGGGAAGGAGAAGCTGTAGATATACCGTATTTCATTGCGTGTAACATATTACGTAAACGTGAGAAAATTACACGTAAATTTTACTAATTTTTGATTAAGTTTTAAGCTTAAAAAAGAATTAATTAACTTAATCGTTGATGCCTCGAAAAGAGACTTTAAATTATTATAATGTCTCGAAAAGAGACTTTAAATTATAACTTTGTGCGAGGTCGCGTAATAATTAGAATTATGGCGAAACAAATTTGACATTTATTGACAGGTTGATCAAGAAAGCTTTTCAGTGTTAAAGGGAAATGTGCGAATTAATGAATGTCTAACGTGTTTATAACGATGAATTCGTATAATACTTGAATTGACAGTCAGTTATCTTCGGATTTGCATATTTTCAATAATCTCGAGACACATACATATGGAACTGTCGATTTATAGCACGTTGTCATAATTAACTAATTGCTAGCGAAGGTACATTATGCTGATAGCAGAGACCGACAATAATTAAGTACATTCAATCCATCAATTATGCAATCGTATTAGCAAAATACGACAGATCACAATTGCATCTACATGGGCCGCAAAGTGTGGTAATTGTGCATAATCGTTAGGAAGATAATGAATATACAATTTGATCAATTTGCACTATCATTATTCCTGCTAATACGAGATTGTTATGTGCACATTTTGCGGAAATTTTGAAGCGGAATTATATTCTTGGACGAAAAGATACTCTCTGACATTTTAATCTCGATGTCACATGTAATTATGTTATATTTACATGTAGCGTATATTCTGAACTCTCGCAATGTCGACATAATATATGCTTATATCAGTACCTTAAGTATTAATTAAGAACATATTTGCATCAATCTAAAACGCGCAGTAAGCTAGTCTATTCAAGACTTCACGATATATCATCCTTTAGACATTGTGCTGTCTAAAACTTTTGCGAACTACTATACTTGAATCGCTGAAGAAAATTTAGATCATATAGAAGAAAATTAATGTGCAAAAAAGCGAAAGAAAATTTGTTAAATTGTGTATAATTCACATAAATTTATCGAATTGAAAAAATATGTATTAAAATATTATTATTGGTGTATTATCTGGGCTGTAATTTATCTTTAAAGTCTATTATATTATTGTATTAATTTTATTTTATTATTGTGTGACTTAAATATTTATATTTTATATTATTCTTTATCTATTAATTTTTATTTTATTCTAATTTATTTCTGGTTTATGTGCACACATCAATAAATACTCTTTATATATATTTCGATCCTATCGATTATATCGATATCCTGAAAATCTGCGGTATGTCGCGCGCATCATTTGCGCACAACGTTTGAAAAGCTTCAGAAATATTTGACTCTGCTTGTGTACAGGACCACGGTGGAACTTTGCGTTCGCATAAAGAGACACGCGTATTTTTAAATTACAGTGGGACGGGGAGGGTACAAAAGAGTTTTACGTTATCAGAACGGTTAGTAGCGAGACCACAGCGGCACATTGATTTTCACAAGGGTTGGGGTTCTTGAAGGCCACAGCTGGAATGGAAGCTGCGGCCTTCAATTCTCGCTCATTCATTCGATCCGATCCTTTCCGTCCGCACTTCACGCAGCTTCGACTTATTTTCCGTCATTCTCCGTCTGCTAGGACTTCGTGTCTTCTCCTTTTCTTTTCGTTTGCCTTTTTTATCCACTTCTTCTTTCTTCCCTATCCGGACAGGTCAGCTTAAAATCCCATTCATTCGTACCGTAGCTTTTTTTTCTTTTTTTTACATAATCGTATTGCCTTATAAATTTGTTGAATAAATTGTAGCTAATGATATTAAGCTTTTCTTTTTGAATTTTTTTACAGAAATTTTAATAATACCTTTCTTGATGGTTACACGGCTCGAGTTTTTCCCGATTCGTTGCTATGCTCAATTACATGCTCTTATTTACATACGACTACGCATATAAATTGACATTTTAATTAATACACGATACGCTTTGAGAGTGGACGCGCCAGTGCGGTTTGATTTATTGAATTCATACGCAACAACATAGCAATTGTCACAAAATATTATACCGCAGACTGTATATATTGTGTTGTGCCGCAATTCTATATATTTCATATATATATTAACTTAAATGTGCATCGGTTTCCAATTATTTGAAACTGTTTGTTTTCACAAAGTGAAATATTGTCATTACTCTTTAATGAATTAGATGCAGATATTTACAAAAAATATAACATATAATTCATATTGTATTATGAAAAAAAATATGTTTTTTTCATAAATTTGATGTAAGCTTTAGAATATTTATTATAAATAAATATTATAAATAAATAATATATATTAATAAATAATAATAAATAATAATATATATTATTTATATTATAAATATATTATAAATATTATATTATATAAATTTATATTATAAATAAATAATAAAATTTGTGATTTCTCCGTTTTGCTCAATTGAATTTTTTAATTTAATATGATTTTTAATTTGGCTAACCTATTTAAATTATTTAATATTTAAAATTAAAAATGTCGTCAAATTCTTATTCAAGAGAAAATTTCAAAGAATATAGGTGAAAAAAGCGACAATAATTGCAAGATATTATATTTTGTACATAATACGTAGTGCATTAATATTTTAATTACGGTAATTAATTTACTTTTTTCTTTTCCTTTGTTATTTCGTGAGAGTCTTATCAAAGATGAATATATTAAATAGCGCTAAAATGTTGGCGTGTAAAATTGCGAAACTGCCGTTTTATCGATTTTTCCACGATAAAGCGCTAATTAAAGTTCGCTTATGTTTTCCATCAAATCAATTTAATGTTACGTACAGCTTTTAATTAGCGACTAATGACGTCGCGAACAATGTCGAAATCGTGGATTAAAAAAAAACATTCAAGAACTGTCGCGAAACAATGACACCAGCGAATGATGCAGTAACGAAATTTAACGATATCAGGAATGTCCCTTATTTTCGCCAACTAACGTTCGACAACAAATAATAATATTCCCCTACAGCGTAACGGACCATGGTTGAGGTATAAAGACGGTGACCTGACTTTAATGAAGTTTGCTGAGGCATTTATCGGTACGGAATTGTTGGCTAACCTGGACCACACATTTCCATCCGGTTCGCTTCTGCTTAAGCATCAACAAGAATCGGTGGCGCACTATTAATTCCAGACGCCTGCATCGGATCGCGCGTTGTGAACGAAACCCCCCAGCTTCCACCATTTTACTATTTTTTCAAGATTAAATTTTCCAACGTCTCCGATAATCTTCAACCGCAATTTTCTCGATATAACGTGTGTGTGTATGTATACCGTGCCTATAATTATTTAATAATATTTGTAAAATACAATTATTCTCTATTTTTTATGCTCGCAATTTTCTCTCGTTAAATATCGATTACATAATGTCCTAAACTGCAAAATGTACATGTACCATCGATGTTACACGTAGGCGACGAGTGGCGTTAACAGCGGGGCTTTAATTAAGGTTTTAATTTATTTTTAATTCTCTCGCAGAAAATCGGTAATACACCGGCGTTAATTTGAGAGACACCTGCATAAAATGCTTCCTAGGTATTTATTTACGGCGTTTTCTCCGAGTACGTCAATATGATGTTGAACGTGACTGAAAATTACTAGACGCTTTTCATCATCCACTTGCATACTGTATGCATTAATTTATTTTTGTTGGACTACTAATAAAAAAGTACTGGCATTTAAGAATTGCATTGAAATAAAAGTGATAAAATAGACTAAATAAATTCAAATCACGATGAAATATATTTCGCAGTTTAGCATTTTTATGCCTGCTCCAATATAAATTGTAGTTTTATATTTAATACCGCGATGAAAAATATTTTTCTGCATATTATATATTTTTCTACGCATATTATTTATTTTTATTTCTAACAAATACTGTAAAAATCGTAAATTTAATTAAAAACCATATGCATTTTACATTTTATAATTCTACTTAGTCACAATGAATTGCAATCTCTAGTTCAAAAATGATCTAGGAAAGTATTTGTAACAATATTTCGCCTTTCGCGCATGTAAAAATATATTTCTATTAGAAACTTTAAAAGTAATTTTAGAAAAATGCATATCGATATTTTCCCCGTAGTGATTAATTTAAAAAATTCGCATAAATGCAATGTGCATTAATGTGCATTAAACGATCCATAAGAAAGTCAATGCGACAGTGGAAGAAGCGTATTGATGGTCGGCCGAGTAGAACAAGTCAGTCGTACCTACACTTAGTAGAAAAGTCGTTCACGTCAGACAATATCCAAGCGAATCGTGAGTCTCAACCGTGGTCAACCGGCGGTAACAGTTGTTCGTTCCACCACATGTGATATTGCGCTTCCTTCCTGTCTTACGGCCAACCGTGTCACAAAGTCACGTCTCAATGCGCCAAATGTTGAATTGCAGTCATGCAGTTTAAACCGGTAATAACTTTCGGATAATCTTATGTTTTAGACAGTTTTCTCCGCACACGAGATTAATTCAAATATTCCTGGTGAAAAATATAAGATATTTGTTCTAGTAAAAAAAATAAACTATTGGTTAATAGTTGCTGTATAAAGAAAAAAAATAAAGTATGCATGTGTATGAATTGAATGATTCCCCGACGAATTAAGTCATGCATGTAAGAAATATAGACTTTACGCACTTCTAATGTTCTGTCAGTAATTTATAAAAATTAAAAAAAAAAGAATGCAAATCTTAGAAACATGTTTATCTCTTTTCAATTAAACTAGAATAATTATATACGTAACATAAATTTCATTTTATATAAGATAGATTAACATTATAAATTTATATATAAATATTAGAAATATTTATTTATGATGCCTTCTTTTTAATAATATATCTCT